GGGGGATACACAAAACATCCCAGCCATATTTAGTAAATTTTTGTCTGATATTCATCAAAATATCGAGTTAAGCATTGTCATCGTGGAAGACAACACTTCAACAATTAGGCAATTCTGGGCGCTTTGCTTCAATCTGCAAATACTAGCATATGTCTGCAAATGTTTTCTGAATTTAGTCTGATTTGGTAACAACAATTCATAGCATATAATTCCTTTGTCATCTGACCATACAAAAGCCCTCTCTCCATATTACTACAGAAGATTCTTGATTGGCTGACCCCATGACTTTTTCTAGTAACTTTACTCCATAGTATCCATTTCTCATATCAAGTAACAATCTACTTCAAAAAAGGAGCTTTAAGCTTTATTTTTTTTTCAGCACATAATCACATGCCAAAACCCGAGCAAACATATTTTGCTGTTTTAAAATATGAGGTACCCATACATTGATGCAGCTACATACCAAATCTTCTTTCAAATGGTCATGTACTGTATTTTTTAAGTAGTCTGTCTAATAGTTCCTCACCTATACAGGGTGGATTTTCATCAATAGCTTTTTTTTAATAGGTCCTTGCTTACAAAGGATGATTGCCCAAAGCAGGTATCATCTTCAAGGTTGAAATTTCCATGCTTGTCAAACTACCTGTGAACCCTGCCATCTAAAACAGCACTTTGTTATATATATAGCATAAATTTTACAAGCAGTCCGACTAGCAATTTCTTTTTCCCCTTTTTTAAGTAAAACAGCATAATATGACGAAAATTAACTTCTGGGTTCTCCCTCTTTAGCACTGCACTGAAACAAAAATCATGCCACAATACACACTAGAATTACACAATATCATATTTAAATATTTGCTTCGAGCACAGTCACTCTTTATCAACAATAACAAAATAATTAAAGAGAAAAAAATGCACTTTGATTAAAAAAACTGCAGAATTTTCCAGATGACGCAATATTTGTTTCAAAAGAAAATTTCAAAAAGCACCACGATTTTATGAAATCACATAAGTTTTCCAATAAATAACAAAACTTTAAGCTTTATTTTATCACTAATTTATGCTTTTTATAGAAGCCCTTTATTTTTTTAACAATGTAATTGTGTTTATTTGTATATATTGTATTTACTCATAAAATTCTTGCATTTTTTGCCTCCTGATTTTACAATCAAAAAGAAAGATCCACAACTAAACAAGATAAAAACTGATAATTTTCATAACAATTTAGAAACTCTTTATTTAAACACAACCTAAAGTTCATATTATCAAAGTTGCCTTATTATCTTATTATCTCCCAAGGTATCTGTGCCATCTAAATTCAACATAACAGTAATACTAAACAACAAAATGTACTTATTAATTCATAAAATAATTCTTTACGATATTAAATATGTCAAGAATACATATATTGTTCATTTTATAGGAGACCTTAGATGCATGAATTACATGATGATTTGAATTACAGATGTAAATACAATATACAGAAAAATAACATAGTTCCTAATTAACTCAACTATCCAGATATACTCATATTGCTCGAATAAGCCACATACTAATGATAAACGTTTTCTTATTTAAGATTTTCAATCCATATTATGATATATTTGAATGAAGACAGCAAAGTTAGAGAAAATTCTTTAACTAAGTGTAGCTGAAAAGCCATAAAAATGATAAACTACCAGTGCAAATTTAAACTAAATTCCTTAAATCTTATGAGTAGCACACAAACTTGATAAAATTTCTGCCTTCACTTGGTGTTAATAAATATAAATCAAATGAAGTAAAACTTTCTTCATTATTTATTTAAATCTTGCCTATATCTCAATTCAAAAATTCCTAATCCAAATTTTATTTCAATTCCCTAAATCTCATGAATAAATAAATATCTAAATTAGGTAAAGTTTATGCAAAATTCTACTTCTTTTGAATAATAAATAACATATAAATCAAACTAAAGAAAATTTTGGTATGTCTTTCATTTGCACAAAAGAGAAAAAAAGAAATTAACAAGACTGTAAAATAAATGGCTTAGAATTTGATGATTAATACAAAAAATTTAGTAATATCAAGCCTACTTAAACATAAATTTTGAATAAAACTCTTAATCGGTTTTACGAGCAATCAGATACAGGTCCTCTTGTTATCTTCTGAAGAAAAGGGAACTGTGTTTGATTGCTCTCAAAATCAATAGTTTTTTATTCAAAATCCATGTCAAATTAAGGTTACCTTTTATCTTAACTTTAAATTTTACACTGGCATGTTTCTCTTTCAATTTAAATATCACATCTGACTACAAATAAGATTTTTCATGAGAAGTTAAAAATCATTTAGCATTTCCAGTGATGAAGAAACTTTCATGAAATTGTAGCAATACTTGAAAAGCTGACCAATCCAGATGCATTTTAAAACTTAAGACATTCAACATTTTTGTATTAAATATTAAATCACTGTGACGGATAGGCATGCATTTATGTTTTAAGTTGTTAGAGCTGTATTCCATGTAGTTTTTAGATGTTAATTGACCTATACTAGATGGATACACATCCATTTTTCAGTTTAATAGATTAAAAATTCTTAAAATTCAAGAATATTTTATTTCAAATAAAAATGTCAAAAAAAAAAAGACAAAACTATCAATATTTACAATCACAGATAGAGAAGCAATAAAATATGAAAAACTGGTCTTTGGTTAATATACAAATAAATCTAAATTCTGAATAAACCTTCCAGAATCTTCAAAAACCTCCAGTTAAACAAAATAAATTTTTAAAATATCAGAAGAAAATAAATGGGGGTTAATTGTTTCAGATTTTGTTTAAAGAGTTCAATATTCATAATTGCAAACAAAAATTAAAAAATTAATAATGAAAAAGGTAAGAACTTGTGTGAGAAATATAATACAAGAAAAATTGGTCCAATAGATATTTCAATTTGGCACATTTTCTCTTTTACACACTATGACACACACACTTTTTTTAAGAACAACCTGTTTAAAATAAATACTACAATCTATATACCACATATTAACCAAACCTTAAAAAATTTAAATTCAAAATTTTTAATCAAATGATGTCTATACAGTATGTGCAAGAGAACTATATAAATATCTAGACTACATATATCTAGCATACTGAATTAAATAACAACAACACTCAAAGATTTTTTAACTCAGCACTATCCTTCAATAAAAACTGTAATATAGTATAAAAATCACTGAAACATTTATAGTCCAGTTTACAGTACACACAAATATATTTCCATAGATTTACTTTATATACTTTTACTATATTGATTCAGTATGAAAAAGTCTGCATAAACATGTAACAAATAATGTATTATTTGTTTATGCAACTTTGTATTAAATATTCAATCACAGAGACATACAAACACTCATTTTATGTTTTAAGCTGTTATGAGCTGTACTGGATAAAAATATTTAGATAATGAGTCAATAAGACTATAGTTGCGGGTTACAGACACATTTTTAACTAGCAGGTTTCACACCTACATGAAAAATTGTATTTAGTTGGCCATTTTATTTATTTGCACTTATATAATGTTAGTAAAAAAATATGGAAGCTCATACATCTTTTTATAATTACAATATTCATATAGTTGCAATATTATATAGATTAAAAAGAGAAAAAGAAACAACAAATTAAAAAATTTTTGGCTCATTTTTAAAAAGATGCAAGTCCATTGTACATAAAATCTTCAATCATGCTTAATTTTTTTTATGTTGTTCATTCCATGAACAATAAATAATATACAGAAAAATATTAAGTAACTGTTGTAACAAATACTTTTCATACAGATTAAATATTCTCACATTTCTACTTAAATGCAATGTCATTTAATGTTATTATTCTAAGAAAAGAAAGCAATAATAATTTCATCATTTTCAAAATTACATTTTACAAAACGATAAAAATTAGATTTATTACCTACAGTAAAAAATTCAGAAAATATATACTGTTATTTTTTAATCACATTGACCAGAGCTAAGAATAGATGTAGCTGAAAATTAAAGCAAAACAAGGAAGGAATTCAACATTTAACTATCCTCATCAAAGATGATGTTAAAAAACTTATCAAATAATATTACTGTAGCTTTTACTGTAGTATTTAGTTATATTTGCAGACATAGATTTCCAATAAATGAGCTAAAGTAAGTATTGTTTGTGCATTTAAAATTTAATAATACATATTTCTAATCACAGAAGTTATTAAAATCACCTCATAACCTATCATCAAAAATATTCTCACTTACAATGAGTAAACAAGTGAAAGTTACATCACAGAAATAGAATAAAACTAGGATCACTAAATACATGATTTTGAATCTCATATTATGATATTGAATCTCATATTAAGTCTTCTCAAACTTTGAAAGTTTTAAAATTACAGCATTTAAATAAGTTCTAAAGCACATATTATAACACCTATAAAATATTAATTAATGATTACCTTTTAAAGCATATAGCTATTAATATCGATCAAAATACTAATTATAAAAATCATTGCAGAGATAATTATTAGCCATTATATTTTAAAGAATTAACAAAAAATCTGAACAGTACACAATTTTATGAAAAAAAATTTAAATACGCATTTAAATACAACCTATCTTGAATGAAAAAATGTTAATACCTTTCTTGAAAGCACCATGTAATAATGGTGAAATTACCAATGACAGAATTCATATAACTATTATATACATTAAAAAGATTCTATAATATTAGCATAAAAACTATATACCATAAATCAAATATGCATATTTGTCAAAAAGTGACAAAAATTAAATTAATACAATGAATCCATCTCTTAGTCTATTTTGCTATATGACATGGATTATAAGTTAGACTAACCTCAGTTCAGTGTTACAAGAATTCGCCAGATTACCTCTCCCTCCTAAACAATAGTATTAATTAATGTCTCAAATTTATTTTCTTTAATGTTTCAAATATTCACTGCTAAGAAAAAATTTAAAACTGTTAAAGAATAAAGAAGAGAAATTACATAGAAAAGAAAACTGAAATTTGTATTTTTAGTCTTTCTTATCTAATTAACTTTAACCATAACCTAAAATGGAAGAATATTAAAATTAGATATTATTTTCTTACTGCAAGAAATATTTACAATTCAGCTATTGCTGTTTTTAGGTACATTTAACAAATGACAGAACAGTTCATATTTTTTTCTTTTTAATTCCTATTAGAAAGAAGTTTACACTTCATTGAAATATTATTTGTTTATCCTTGTAATAAGCAATATGAACTTCCAAGCGAAATATTAAAATTCAATCAAGTTTAAGCACTACAAATTGAATCTAAAATTATAAATAATTGTTTCAGTTATTTTTTTATTTTCAGTTATTTTTAGATGGGAAGTGAATTAAGCATATAATAATAAAATTCATATAATTTATTATAGTATTTTTATTACATTAGAAGCATGATATAAGTCCTAATTTCCACTAGATGTTCCCAATTAACCCAAACCATCTAAAACAGATTTATATAAAAATATTCCAATGTATTAAAAACATACAGATATATTTCATCATTTAAACAGAGATAAGCAATCTCAGAAGTCACACATTTGATGCAGCACATATACAATCCAAATAAAATGATTAAGAAAAAATATATATAATTCAATATACAATTAACAGACAAAACATAATGACATCTTTGGTCAAAAACTTGCAGCACCATATAATCAAAAAATTTCAACAAAAAACACAATTACACAAAATATAAACTCGACAATTCTGTGAAAATTTCAAGATCTTAAAGTAATTTTAGTAAAAACAGTACATATGCATTTTTAATATAAAAATATAGCCATACATCTTCACTTTAGTGATTAACAATGCAAAACCGTACACTAAAGAAATCATCCTTCCCCACATACAAATCAACACATTTTACTACAAATAAACATAAATTTACTTTGAGGTAACATAAATTTACTTTGAGGTATAGTAAAAGAAATTTCTTCAACTAATAACAATCTCTGTCACATCAGAAAATGCTTCTTTACGTATTTTAAAAAATTAATTCAACAATTTAGATCAAATGAAGACATATATATATAAATTTAAGTCAAGCAAATATGAAAATAGTAACACCAAAAAAGGTAAAAGACATACATTGTCACACAACCATTTGTAAAATATTATTTAACAGCAGCACCTCTTTCAAACTGTTCCAAATTCAAATGCCATAGCGACAGGTACAGTATAATCACATTTTAAGTATAAACAATAATCCCTTTATTGTGCAGCTTCCACATTTTGGTAATTTATCACATAGTAATCATGGTAGTACATCAGGATACAAAGTGGCTGACCAATGATCAAGGAAATCCATACTGCCATGTTACCATATTGATTATGTAAGTACTTCCCCACAAACTTGGAGTATGGCAACTAACATAAGAGAATGTATTGTTACTATTTACATAAATTTATAATCTATCAAAAACGCATTTATGAGATTATTTATGCCATTAGGTTTAGAATTTAATAATGCAGTACAGAAAACAAAATCCATGTTAATGATTTTAAAAACTAATTTACGGATGTTGGCACCTCCACATTGCATGTAATAACTACATCATCTCTAGAGAGTAAATTAGACTGCCAGATGAAAAACAAATGAGTGCGTTTAAAACATATTTTAAGGACTATGTTCTGTAAACCTGAAATATTCCGACATATTTTTTAAGTAAATAATGGAAGTATTATTTTTAAAGTACTGATGCACTTGAGGCTTCTAATTTGATTTATACTTCTGGGTTATAATGAGAAAATGTGCATATATGTAATCCATTAAACTGTTATTTTGGAAACAATGATTAAAAAGAATTGAGCTTAAACAATGTTAAGCAACTTAACACATTAAGTTCCATGTCAATCACTGGTGACTGATACTTTACTTTCCATTTGGACCATGTCAGTAACCATTTTCCATTCAAACCACATCAATTATCGATGACTGACAGTATCCTTTTCTTTCTGGCAGCATCAGTCACTGTTGACTACGAATATATAATTTAAGAAATTATGATATTCTCTCAAATCTATCTTCTGTCAAATTCTACAGCCAGCAGCATATCAGTGGAATCAGATATTACTGGTTAAACAGAAAGGAAGACAAAACAGGCTTCATACTTAGTATGTTAAATTCATACCAAACTTAACTCTTTTTCATTTCATTAAACTGCAAACTTTCTCTTTTGTTTTCTATTTTCTAAGAGTTAAAAACTATACAAGGACTATTACATCCTTTGAAGGCAGGAAACATAAAAAAATCAACAGCACCCTCACCAAAATTTGAACCATGGATCTTTCATTTGCTAATAGGACATGCTACACACTTACACATCAACAGCCTATAAAGAAGAATGCACTAATTGCTTAAAGTCTTACAAATTTAAAAGGGCAACTGGGAAGAAGCATAAGACTGAACTGACAATCAGGTGAGGAAAATGTAACATTCACATCTTAGCTCAAGTGCCACTGTAAAGACTACAGGAAATGTTAGAAAGATGTTACTGTAGTAAAGACTACAGGAAATGTTAGAAAGATGTTACTGTAGTAAAGACTACAGGAAATGTTCAAAGCAGGAAATGTTAGAAATCAGTTACATTCTCTGGGATGTGAATCAATAATCTTGTTAATAAAATATGCTGATATCTTAAACCCATGACAGCATGCATGGGAGAATGAGATAATTCCTTCATGGAAGAATGAGATAATTCCTTATATAATAAAACATAACAGAATTTAGTTCTACTCAAAACTCCTATATGAAATTATGGTTTTCAAAATCACAAAATGTTATCACAAACTATTCTTTCACTAAGGTATATATTCTTTGATACATGCATATTGAGTTAATCTATAATCAATACATACACAATATACATATATATGAAGGAATTATTCGAGAGGTATATATTCTTTGATAGTGTATTGTGTGGATTGATACACACGCAAATATTCTTTTCAATGAACAGAATGACAGAAAGTTTCACTCAGTTGACTTCCACACTAACTTTTCTACAAAGATCAAGAGCATTTAGATGATCCGCATCTAGATGTACCACAGGAACAATTCCTTTATGTCTTGAAAGCAGACATTTTCCACCATTGTGTCAAAAGGTCAAAGAAGAGAAATTAAATTGTTGGAGACATTTTGTATGCTCACATTCCAGAAAAAATCCACCAAAATGGAAAATGTCCAATCATCAATGCAAAAACTGCAATATTGGACTATGTGTAGAACTCAGCTTTAAAATTTAGCATGGTCAAAGCCTGTTTTAAACGAATATGCATTGTGATTGTTACTTACTAATTTTTTATTTACTAAAGTACAAAGTAATTTATTTTTCTTTTAAAGTTATATCAGCTACAGATTGCGGATATACCATTTACTAAAATATTAAAAATTATATTTTACTAAATAATTTTTATAAATTTATAATTACTAAATATACCATTTACTAAAATATAATTTTTAATATTTTAGTAAATGGTATATCCACAATCTGTAGCTGATATATATCATAATTTTTTTTTGTGTGTGCGCACACGTGCAATTAGACTTAACTAGAAAAACTGCATCATCCATGGAATGCCATCCACATGGCACGAAATGCATAAGCCAACAGCAAAAATGCTACACAGTATATTAACTATAAATCTATACAATAAGCTGTATGAAATGTATAACAGTTATAATTTCAATACAAATTTAATATAAATTAGATTTCTAACATTTAAAAAAAAAATCTGAAAAAGCTTTCAAATTTTATACATTATGCCCAATTTTATTCATTATGGTCATGTTCTTCGAACATAAACCATAAAATTCAATTCAATAGCAATATCGCAAGACAATTTTAAAATGAGCATATCTTTAGATTTTACGATACACAGTCTCGCACGCTGGAGGTAAAAAGGTTTTTTTCTGTGCAACGTTGCCATCGCTCGCTTTGAAATCCTGGAGTTTATTAATCAAAAACTCATTAAAGTTTTATAAAATATGAAATCGATAATAAAACAAATTCCAAATTTCAAATTTGGGCTTTCAGATACCCATATTCACAGTAGGATTATGCCATTCAAAACTGGTTGGCTCTAGGTACCGCTGTTTTATCATAACGTGAGACGCATACATACATTTATGCAGATTCTTCATTATTTAATTTCTTTAAAAGTAATACAGGGTGGTAACATTTGGTGGGCAATGATTTGAAAAGTGATACGCCGTTTAAAGTGATTCGACGCAAAATGCCAAAATGAAAACAATAGTCCTTCAGGGACAAAGCCCCTTTGCACTAAAAAAAAGGGATAAAAAATCCCCCCTCCGAGGATACTTAAGTTTTGATGAATGCTTTTCAGCAACAAAGCAATTTTCTGAAAAATGCTTTGTACTAAAAAAAAAGGGATAAAAAATCCCCCCCTCTGAGGTTGCTTAAGTTTTTATGAATGCTTTTCAGCAACAGGTATAACAAAAAGAGGAAAAAATTATACAGAGACTGGATCCTCAAATAACAGAGAGATGCATTTAAAAAACAATCAAAGCTAAACAAAAATTATTATTTTGTAACAAATGGTCTTAAATATGCTAAAATACATACATATAGCAAAACAATCACACAATATGAGTCATTTGCAAAATTTCAAGCTCTAGATCTTATGGCTTAAAAATTTTCGGATTTCAAATCCTCATTTTCATAGTGTCAAATGTTTCTACCACTAAAAATTCGTACACTCACATGGATTAAGTTTTATTCTCTCAGTGATACAAATTTCTTTGTCTCGTGAACTTTGAGATTCTCTTTTTGGGAAAGGGACTCCTGAACTAATAGCTGCATTTATGATAACTGACATTATTATTACTACAAATAAAATTGGTAGAAAAAAGGGGGAGAATTTTGTTAATAATATCTTTAATATTAATAAAATAATAATATATACACATAGAAAATAATATATCGAAAAAAATTAACAGACACTTTCAATTTTTGTATGCTTTAATGAACATAAAAACTAAACCAAAAAGAAAGGCTTTTAATTTGATTATATGCAAATTCAACATTCTTTTTATAGTAAATACATTTTTTAAAAAGATGAAAATTAAATTCAAAAATCAATGTCGTTTATTTAATGAGGAAAAATATGCTCACAAAAATAATCGGGCACTTTTAATAAACAGCAAAAATGACAAAAAGCTACATTGTGTTTGCTCCTTAATATCTCAGGAGATTACCTTTACACTTGATCACTTAATTTAATCTTTCGGGCATTGATTCCACATTTTTTTCCCTCCCTGTTGTTGTTATTTCTAGACTTATTTTATGCCACTCCTCTTGAATCACTGCTTTCAACTATTGCCATGAAAATATGCTCTGTTTTTGAATTTTTTATTCTAGTTCCTGTCAAATATGCTCAATAGGATTATAATCTGGCAATTGGGGAGATGGCTTAATTAGAACACTTATATAACAGCCAGAGTCTAACCTTGTACACAGTCTGCTTTAGATCATTGGCCTAGTAGAAATGGAAATTATTTTGTATATTAAATTTATGTATTGACGATGCCAAATTTCACATCAAAATATCAAGGCACTTATAATTATCCATACCATCTATAAACTCTCTATTACCAACATAAAAATATTCCACAGATCCTCATACCATAACTCTTCTCTAGCATGTTTAACACTTAGTAATAAGTTTAGGCTCTGAAATTCTTCTTTGGGTTGCAGTAGATGGGTGACTTCTAGCATGTTGAAGTTTTTTTTTTTTTTTTTTTTTTTTTAGTGACAGAAAATTTTCCTGTTGCTACTTACCCATGATATTCTATAGATTGCATTACTCTTCTTACAGTTTCTGGACTTACACATATTCCATATAATTCACGTAGTTCCGCAGTAAGTTTAGGAGCACTCAGTCTTGGATTCTTTTTAATATTCCTTAGAATTTCATTCCAACCGATAACTTAAGTGGTCTTCTAGATTTTCTTTTGTTTTGAATACGATTCTGTTTCTTATAATGCTTAATAAGATCAAAAACTGTAGAATTACTTTAATTAAGTAAATTAGCAGTTTTTCCAACATATTTCCCTTTCTTTTGATGCAAATTAATAATTAATCTGCAAATTTCAAATGATGTTTCCTTTGTGACAAAGCCATTGTAAGAAAACATTAAAATAACAAACATTCTCTAAAACTAAAATCTGTATTGTAGAAGCAAATGATTTTTAGATTATTGCCTAGCTTCTTTATCCACACTAATTCCATAAAAGTTCGTTTAATATTTATAGCAGATGAGTTTAATTAGAAATTATGAAAATATCCAATTAATTTTGTGATACTTTTTTCCCCATTCCAGCCTAAAACATCTTTTTAATTTACTATTTAATTTTTTCAAATTTATTTAGCACAAAGGGGAGAAAATATGTATTCAAATGAAAAATGTTTTTTAACATTTTTGTCAGACACTGTATATATTTCACTTACATGTAAGTCAAGCAGTGACTAAATGGCTAAAGTCTCAAAATACTGATAGTTCATTCCATATTCTCTCTTAGAAGTTGAGTGGATTGGCTGCCCAAGGTTTTTGTGGTTTTCCTTACATGTAACATAATACAAAAAAAAAAAATTCACCTCAGATGAGCCTTTACATAACAATCTCCTTCTATAAACAGCCCTAGTGTACTTGCCACAATCAAATCATTCAATACATTTACGTTAAAAAATGTATAATTTAAAAATAAAAAACTCAACAACTCCAAATATAGTTTTAGAAGCACACTTAAAGGATTTAGAGTAACAGAATTGGGTATATAGACCATAATATGCAGAATATTTATAATTAAACTAATTACATCACTTTTGCTTAAATTGCTAAATGTTAAACTTTATAAGATACAGAAAGTTCGTCTTAGAATAGTAAATGTTTACAAAATGCATTACAGGTTTTTATTCCCAAATATACTCATATGACAAATATTATTAAGCCCTTGATAGACATAATTAAGTCACCATTAAACAATGTGATTTATTTTCTGATTTAGAAATCTGACTTATCTCTTACTTATCTCAATAAAGAATTTATAAACTTTAACATTCTGCAGACAGCAAAAAGTTTTGCTGGCTGATTTCTCTTCCCCAAAGACATATTCATATCACCATGGGTTTGTTATCATAAAGGTGTTTAAATTTCAGACTATAGCTCCTTTTTTAATACCAAAAGACAATTTAACAACAAAACTTCAAATTGCTAAAATAATAAAAGCATTCAGCAAAAAATTGCAAATTACTCATACACATAGAATATGTTAAAATAACTATTTTTTAAATATTTTGATTAATTCAAAGCAAAATTACTTATTTATAAAAACGTGACTTACTTGGCCAACCATTCCAAGAAAAGCCCAGATCCTAAACATCTTTAGAGGAACACTTACAAGATACTAAAATGCAAGAAAATAATATCAGGTAAACAGAAAATTATTCTACTTAATATCAACACCCTAAATTATAATAATCAATCAATCACCATTATAGATGTTTACTTAATACATCATAATCAAAATTAATTTTAAAGATAATTTTAGTATACAATTATTATCATCCTCGTGAATTTCACAGTCTTCAGAGAATAATCTGAAACATCCACAATTTATTTTCCATATTCAGTGAAGTTACATCAAAACATACTTTAGCCTCTACTTAAGCATCCTATTTTTTTTAAAGTAACTTTTATGCCAACATATTTTTAAAAAAGCAACAATTTAAAGCAAAAAAATATTTTAAAAATATAATGTAACACAACAGCATACAATTAAAAATGCTGGTTAATTTCAACATTCCTTATTAATAAGCATATTCAAAACTGAAATTTTGAAAACTTAAAATTTAAAATGTACATATTGAACAACATTCAGAGATGGACTTATGAAGTCACTCAAGTCACAACTACAAGGAGCCCAGCATTCCCAGAGGCTTCCATAAGTAACAGTGAAATGGGCCACTCATTTCATAAATGCACCACTGACAGCATTATCATATATCCAAAAGCAATTCCAGAAATTTTAATTTATGTTCATATAATACTGCTTGCAGTTTTGTTGTGCTTATTCTTAGAATTGTTAGGTTTTTTATTAAGCAAATTATTCTGTCAAAAAATTAAAAATGACAGAAGTATTTTCACATCTTATTTTTTGCATTCTGCCATAAATAAGTCTATGGCAAAAGTAACCACTGTTATGCACACTGTCCTCTGATTTGTAAGAACAATAGTTTTACTACCTCTAATTATGTTTGTACTTATCTTGCTCATCAAACTCTCACTAAAATTATTTAGATTGATTGCAGCTATAATATTAAAAGATTATTTAGATTGATTGCAGCTATAATATTAAAAGGTTTGGCTCAGTCTACTGTCACTATCTGAGTCACATCACATACAGAAATCTCTGGCAAGAATTTTTAGAGCTTTGAAATACTGTTGGCCCTTGAAATTATGCTTTCAAAGTAATTACAAATCTGATTTTATTCAATGGTACATCACTAGCAATATTTTCTTAATTTGTTAATACAGTACTTCATTCATTGATTATTGATGAAAATTCATTCCAAAATAAGAAATTGTTGCTAATCAATTAGGCATAAGATCTCTCATTTATATTTTACATTAAAAATAATGCACAGCTCATCAGAATAGCTACCATTAGAGCCGTTTAAAAAACAATTACTATTTCTAAACAAGATTTTACACAAGTATTATTATTGTTTATATCTATTAGTGCAATTAAAAGACATTCATGATGCTATAAATTATGTATTTCGATAATAAAATTTCTAATATTACATTCTGCATCCACTACTGTCTGCTAAAAAATATCAAATCTAATGGCAATGATAAATTTCTAGGCAATCATAAATTAAAATTACTAACCTCATGGAAGAAAGCAGATACAAAGAACACAGCAGCAGCTGCTTGGGGCTTTGTGAAACCAAAATTCAAAAGAGGTATATACAAATGTCTTACACACCACTTATGGACAGGAATATTCCAATTCTGCCAAAAATACTGCACTGATTCAGCATTCCTAAAACAAAACAAAAATTTGTTCATTCCGATTTTTTTAAACCATAAACATCACAAATGATAAATTATAAACTTTAACTTTTCAAAGAAAATATCTCACAGAAAGAAATAAATGCATAAGCATTAAAAATGCACGTAGTTGAATAAATAATAGTGATATGTTAACTAAAATACCACACCAAAGGACAAATGTTGACGATACTAGCGCGACAAGAATCAATGCAAGTTGCCGAAATTTAAGGGACTAGTTTCAAGAGGTTTGAAAAGAACTTGCTTCTTCAGCTGCAAGAGTGGCAATGAGTCTTGTGGATAAATAAATAGGTTTTATTCCCACCTCCATAACTAGTTTTGCAATTTAAACAACTTAATGTGAATGATTGTTGCCTTAATATCTTCAATATAAAAAGATAAATGTTGTTTGCATACTTGTAACTCAACCATGCAAAATAAGTCAGCAGACTGACCCATAATTTTGCAGCAGATATTCCAACGTCATACCTGTTCTAAAGGGAAATCCAAAAACTTAAACAAGCATTATCATTCAATGAAACTCTTGAGTCCACTTATTTTGAATTTATTCAGTATAAGATTTTTGAGTGATAGTATGATAAAGACACATAATATGATGCTTCAACATATGTAAACAGATAGTATTCAACAATTATTAGTGAACTATTAGTGAACTATTAGTGAACAACTATTAGTGAATAGTAATCACAAGAATTTTGAAAAAATTCTAGACACATTTATTTTATTTGCAACCTTCATGAATGTAACATATAAATGTGGTTTAAGGTAACTACAGTAGCATTTAACAAAGTTTTAATCTGTCATTATTATTACGGGTATGCACAATTACTTTCTCAGCGTTTAAGAGGTTTTTAACATTATTATATCGGGAAAATTATATAATATGCATAAAAAAAATTGCCATTATTTTTGGAGAGAGGCAGAGTGCCATTTTTGACTGCATAGTTGCCAACCTTGAAATCTGAAAAACAAAGAGATTTTTGCAAGCACACCGAGAGGTTTGTGGTGATGCCATTGCAAAAGAATTCCAAACTGATTTAAACTCAGTTCAAAACGTATGATTCGAACAAATGTATGAATGCTCATAAAATACGATTTCAAAAATCATTTGGATCTGTTTTTGTAAGTAAAGATCAAAGTGGAATCATACTACTACCAGAAAGATGGGAAAAAAAAGTACTGTATCAAAATGGTCAATCTGCAATTCAATAAAATATTTTTACATGGAATACAAATTCCTATGATAAAATGAAATTGCTTTCTGAGTAACCTAATATTTAATTACATTTAATACAAAAAGTGCTATATTTATGTGATAACATATATGGAAAATAATGTCAGTGCAAGGAGAAACTTAGAGATAAAATATAGAAATTCTTTAGAAAAATGAAGGATTCTTTTTGCCAGAAAGCACTGAAGAATTTTATATAAAACAAATACATATTCACCAATGAAATTATTTTCAAAGTAATTTTTACACACTTAAACAAGAAAAAAATAAATATCTAAATAAATTCACAAATTTTTTACAAAAAACCCAGAAGCAAGACTTTTGCTAAACTGACTCCTTGCACTAATTTTGCCGTTATGTTCAACATATGGGCTACAAAAGAAATTTTTGGATTTTTCAGCAAAACATTTCTGTGTTGTATATCCTCTTTCCTTCACCATCTTTCTATTTTACCTTTTTGGAAGCTTAATTAAGTTTTTAAGGTTTTTTTTATTATTTTTATTTGATCTGTCACTCAAAATTTTAAATTTAAGCATATTTTTTTTATTTATATCATTAAAACTAAGCATGAATCTGTCACTCAAAATTTTTAATTTAAATCTAAATTTTTTCTATAATCTTAAAACTATGCATGAATTATAAGCCTGCAGAGGTAAAGCATATCATAATTCTATTGTATATTTATTTCTTATTAAAAATTAAATGTTTGCAATTACTTATATAATTTATAACTATTTCATTTTTCATAACTTCCTTCTAATGTTCTTTTTTCTCCTTTTATTGAAAGAAACTATGCACTAGTGATTCATAGCAAATTGCAGTTATTACCTTAATCCATTTGTCATTGTTTCATTACAAAAAAAAACTAAACTAGGCAGTACCTTTATCATAAATATTTGAAAATAATCATTTCTATCTTGCTGACCATTAAAATTGCTACACTCTGAAAGCAAATGTCAAATTTGTATGAAAAGCACTACATGCCAGGATATGCAAATGAGTAGCATAGCAACACATGCACACAAAAAAAGGTACAAGTAATACCATCTACATTATGTACATATGGGAAAACTGCACAGCAGGTTTTTCGTTTGGTAATTGCATTCGAACATTAATTTTTTGTGTAAAATTTGTGTTATGCCTCATGTAAGAAGGAGAAACTCCTATCAACATGTGGCAACTGTGGCAGGATTGTGGTACATCAGGACTGCGGTTTATCATTCCGAGAGCACTGCTGTTTGTGTTAGTCAGGATCCCATACCTGTCAGGTGACTATGGTATCAATCGGTAAAGGGAAGCCATACAGAATGCTATGCAGCATCTCAGCCAAGCTACTAACAAACAACAGAACATACTTGTTGTCTTCCCAGTTTTGTCGGATCATGCAGCCGACAACAGTTTGCATGGACAGTGTGATGATATCTGCAGCACCACAGATTATCAATACGGTAACAACCGCTATGGCTTTCCTTGAAGCTACAGCTGAGACAGATGTCTCTACAATGGTATAATGAACAATGACACTAGACACAGGAACATTGTCTTTTCAGATCAATCAAGTTTCTATATACAGCATCACGATGGACACTTCCATGTATGGAGGCACTGTGGAGAACGAATGTTGCCAGTTTACATTCGTCAACATCATACAGGCCCAGCACCTGGTGTGTTGGTACAGAGTACCAATGAGTACACAATCCAGTCAGTAACCTTTCATTTGAATAACCAGGAATGTGAACAGTCGCAGTTACCTTTTTGTATGTTGAGGCCTATGGGTGTGTCCTATCTTCAAGGCCTACATATGCCATCTTTCAATAAGATAATATAAGACTTCATACTACCTGTGTTGTCCTGATTTCACTTGAGACAGAGGATATTTGGCTGCTACCCTAGACAGCATGTCCTCCAGATTTGAGAACATCTGGTTGTGGATTGCTGAAAAACTGGCACACCACCCATTATATTCGATGAAGTCTGGAAATGAAGCCACATGGAATAAAGTATCTGTAACTATCAACTAAGCTTGACTCAATGACCAGCCATATTACAAACATTGTTGCTACCACAAGTGCACCATCAGCTCTGCATACCACAATCCACATGCAATTAATAAGATTCTGTTGTTTTCTTTCCTTTTTGATTTAGCAATTTTAATATAGCCAGCAGTGTATATACACTGATGAATGAAAACAAATAAGTGTTCTTTGTATGGTCTAGAAACTCTCTCCACTAATTTTTCATATGCCACATCCTGAAGATGCAATTTTTTAATCCAATCTGTTTTACATGTTTATTTAAAAATTCCGGAGTTCTTTAAATCCTGCAAGAAATCTTTTTTAAAATGTTACTTAAGAATCTTACCACCAATCGTTGTAAAAATATCTGTCTCCAAACCTCAAGATTTCAGCGACTGCATTCAATGAAGAATGGAAAAACCAATAAAAGAATATAAGCCATATAAAATGATTTGGCACCTAGAAGTAAACCAATGCTCAAATATTTCTTATAAAATTCAATTTTTTTATAATATATCATGAAAACTTATGGTAATATTAAACTCACAAGCCAAAATTTTTAGATAAAACTTAAAATTTTATTTTATATAGTAAAGATTTTCATAAGACAGCATGAATTACACACCTATATCTTACAAAGTAAGTAATTAAATCAAGGTGAAATGTGCATCTAAATAAATTAATAATTTATATCTTAATATTTATAAAGTTTAAAAATTTCCTTTGGTATCATAAAGTGTAACCAAATTTTAGATAGACTGGCAGTGAACTACCACTAAATCTAAATTAACAATGAAACGTGAAAAGCGGCATCTTTTTAATATTTTTTTTATCATGAAAATTATACAAAACATAATATATCAACAGCAGAAGATTCTTAACTTCAAACATAAAGCAACTTTATTAATTTTTAAAAAGCTAGAAATAGAATAATTGCATTTTACTTAATATAACTTCAAAAGAAAAAAAACTGATCCGATAAAGATAATGTAATGGTATTAAATATTAAAATTTTACAAATTAAAAATATAGAGAAAACAAAGAGACCAGTTCTTTTAATTATTAAGAAGCTATTACTATGCCATACAGAAAGAACTCAATAAGGTAACATGTCAAGATTCTGAAATGCTCAAGATATGCCTAAAATATGAAATTCTTCAAATCTTCTTAAAGTCTGAAAACCATTTTCATTGCATGGAAGAAAAATCTAGAAGTTAAAGAAAATCCAAAAAACTTAATATATTCTTTCTCAACAAAATGTCTTCAAATTATTTTAAAGACTTTTGAAACTTATGTTAAAAGAAATTAAATACAAAAGATAGACCTGAATAGAAAGCATAAAAGGAATATTTTGGAAAAAGACAACAAACAAATCAAAATTAATTTGAATGAGATTTACAGAAGTAAAGGAAGATAACATAACTAAAAACTAGGTAAAAAAATGGCATCAAACTGCAGAAGATAAATGGTCAGACTAAAGCCTTATAATCCAGCAACACATGAAAAATTTAATAAAGAATGAAACATTATTAATACAGCATAATCTGAATTTAAAGAATACCCACCAAGAATATCATGAACTGGAAATTATGCTAATTTGCAATTTAGAACAAAGTGCAGTAAAGAATTTTAATATTTTGATAATCAAAACTTATTATCAGGCTTTTAATCCAAGTGCTCAACATTATGTTGTCATACTTTATTTGGCATCTGTTAAGCATAGTTATTTTTTCCCATTTTAAGCATTCATCAGCAATGAAGCTAAAACATTGAATTTGCTAAAACAGTAACAAATCTTTTTTAACCAAGCAAATACATTACTGCTGCTAGAAAAATAAAAAATAAAAAATATTATCACTGCAAAAGTTAAATACAGTGAAATATAATGAAATGAAAAATCTTGACATTTATAAAATAAGACAAAAAATTCAAATAGCATCAAATATATGGCTTTAATTATGAATGGAAAATTGGAAAGAATGGATTTTCAAAGATGGAATATGGCTGTATAAAAATTTGATAATCAAACTTTACAGATCAAGTCTGGATTGCTGTTTGATTATAGCAGCATAATCTTTACTCAGAATAATGGAAAACATCTAGATTAGTATCATTGGTAATAAATTTTCTTTTTTCAGCTAAATTCTTAGGAATAGAACTGGATATTTTTTACCAGACTTTTCAATTATATAATAAAACCAAAATTATTGCAGAAATTTTGTAACAATAGTTTATTCAGTTCAGAATTTTATTTTTTAATTTGTTAATTTTCCTATCAGAAATGTACTATAATATTATGCAGTTAATGCAAAATACCCAAACTTCCCAGAAAATAATGTAACCAATTACACTGCCTACTTTTTTATTCTTATGTATTAGCCTAAGGTAAAATGTAAAATGTGCCCAAAACAGCTTGCATAACTAGGATTGAATAATGGCTTAATCCTGGCTCAAAAAACCAGCCAATCACTTATCATCTCAACTTGAAAATAAAGAGTGATAAAAAAAAGCAACAAAAAAATTAAAGTAAAAACAAATTTTTATATTATGCCGAAAACGGCATTTTATTAATGTTTTGTGTGTTACCTTTATTTATTAAATATCATGTTCTTTGCCCTTAAGGCACATAAAATTCAATTAATGTTCTTCACACTTAAACCACATAAAATTCAATTCCACCTAAATATCACAAAATATTAACCCTCTGACTGCTCAATTTGTGGAACAAAATCGCTTCCAAATTTTTTTTTTTTTTTTTCCATATTTTAAATCTATACATATTGGAGAATTCAAAAATGCACTTTTTCTTTCTAGAAAATATTGTTATATAGATTTTAACTGGACATAGTTGCCAGAAAAACCAATTTCAGATGTTATTACCAAAAAAAATTTTTTTAAAAAATAAATCCACGAATTTCAGTTAATTCGTTTATTGCATAATATAAAAAGTAAAGTGTAAATTTAAGAAAATATAAAGCGAGAGGGAAATACCTTAGAAATGATTACTGTATTAAATGTATTAAATTAAATGTTTATGATAGAGTCAAAACAGGGTTCAAGAAAGTCCAACTTCACAGTTTTTGTACCAGATTCAATATCTAATCTAATAAATTATTAATCTAATTATAATTCAATAATTTAATTAAATAATCAAGATATATCGCTGAACGTTTTCTAGCAACCATTTCTGTAAAAAAAAAGTGCCAAAAAGTGAAGTATGAGCACTAATACCACATGCCTTCAAATGCCGCAATTTAGTGGACAACTAACGACATCTGTTGGCCAAAACGTAAACTAAACGCCTAATACTGTATATAATTTATTTCAATGGTTAAACAGGGTAAAAACAGTATGCACTCTTGTTGCCCGTGGAAATCGTGGGATGATCAGCCAGAGGGTTAAAAAACAGCTAAACAGCATACACAGCCTCGCACGCTGGAGATAAAAATGATTTTTTTCTCTACAGTGTTGCCATTGCTTGCTTTGAAATTGTTGAGTTTGTAAGCCAAAAGTTCATTACAAAAATTTAAAACAGATAATAAAAAAAATCCAAAATTCAAAAGTCGGGCTTCCAAGTGCCCATGTTTGGTTGGAGGACTAAGTTATTCAAAATTTGATGGCTCTAGGTATCATTGTTTTTTCACAATGCAAGAAACATTTATGCATTCATGTAGATTCTTTGTTATGCAGTTTCTTTAAATATAATACATGGTGATAATATCCGGTGGCAACAGTTTGAAAAGTGAACCAACACACAGTGTTAAATCATGCAAAATGCAGTTTCTTAATAGCCTTTTGGGTTTAACACCCCTTTTGGCTAAAAATACAAAGCAAGAAAATGGTATATCACAAATGGCTAAAACTGTGATGTAAATTTCAGTGTGTTGTTATCCAGGCATTAGTTAAAACTTAGTTGTTAGTTTCCTGGGCAAACTTTGTTCATTAAGAAAACTAATACATATCATTTATATATTTTAATTATCTTAAATTATATTCATACTTATACAGGCTAACTACATAAATTTATCAGAACTAAAGATTTACCAAAGAAAGAAAGAAAATTGAACTACATCAGATTCAAGAGAACCTACACAATAACAATGATAATTAGATATTAAAAATTTTAAATGCAACTAAAAGGAGGGAAAATCCATATAAATCACTAAAATTTAAATATTTAAATTTTTGGATCTTTTCCATCATGATAACATGCATAAAACAATTTACTGTAGAAAGATATATACGCCAACTCAATACTTAAAAGCGAGAAAACATACTTTCATCATCAATCCTTTCATACATATCTAAATTTTCCTAATTAGTAAGAAATATAGTTCTTAGATTAGTTATATCAATGGAAAAGAACAAAATAGAATTGTACACTTAAAAAAAACTTCTTGTTGACAATATTCATTTTGGAAACAAGAGCACTGATATTAGAACATGTTTAGTTTACGAGGTGCATCCAGAAATTGAGTTTCCTAAGTCATAAATAGAAAGAAAAGTTACACAGTTAATGATTACATGGAACATTTATTGGAACAGCTGCAGAAATTGCTGAATGATTTTCACAACTTTGTGAATGGAATTAAAATGCTTGTCATACCATGGAATCAACTTTTGTATTCCACTGTCCTAGAATTCTGTAACCTGGACTGAAACCAACATATTATAACTGTCTGTCCTCTTCATCTCTTAGAAAATACTGAATGAACAGCAATTTCTTGAGTTGCAAGAAAAGATGGGAATTGCTGAGGGCAAGATCAGGACAATACTATGGATGGTCAAACACCTGCCAGCAGAATTTCTGCGTATGCTCATTGAGACATTTGTGGGCAAGCCTTTTTGTGGATCAACACAACACCTACACTGAGCATCCTGTGCCTCTCTCATTCTGGATTGCTCGTTAAAATTTCCAGGATGCTTGCCAGCAAGGATCAGTATTTATTGCTTCATTTCTAGCTATAAAGTCAATAAGCAGAATGCCCTTTCTATACCAGGGTAACATACCCCTCAATTTTCATCAAGACAGAGTCTGCTTGAATTTTGTCTAGCATGGAAATCCATTGTGATGTGAATTTTGTCTAGCATGGAAATCTATTGTGACGTCAAAGCATCAATTTCTGCTTGGTAAAGTAAAAAACAGCCGTTCTTCATCAACTGTGATAATCCTGTTGAGAAATCTGTCACAGTCATGATGGTATTGCTGCATAAAAGTCAATGTTGATCTCATGTGTTTATGTCTGGATATCATGCTTTTTGGCACCAACCTAGAACACAATTTCTGGAATAAGAGGTGCTTTGTGACAACTGTATGCAGCAAGGAATGATGAATCTGTGGAATCAAGGAATCTGTGGAGAATGATTTTTGAAGGTACAATTCTTAATAATATACTGCTGCAGCTTGTGCACGAGCTAATCATAAACATATTTATAACCTTAAAAATTGCCTACAGCAATGACATGCCATCTGCATGCTCATGATATCAGGAACATAAATTTGATGTAGCTATGAAGAATTCTGATCAGCACTACTTTCTATGAATTCAGAAATTTTATTACTGATCTAACCTCACAAATGATAAGTGTAAAAATAAGGTCTGACATTTTAAGCTCCTGCAACTGGAACACTACAAGTAACCAGGAAGTGACAACTGTCACTATGATAAGCACATCTCAAACCCTTCAGGCATGCACATAGGCCTCAGGCATCTTTCACAATACATAGTTTGTCATCCATTGTCAGCATGGAAAGCTTATTTTCTGAATGCAACTTATAATAGTAACCAATAGGCAATGTTGGTGCATATATCTTTCTGTAGAAAACTGTTTGATGCATGTTGTTGTTCTAGAACAAAAAAAGATCCAAATTTTCTGAACAAAAAATAAAAATTATTAGACTTTGAATATTTACTGCTAGTTTTAGAAGCCGCTCCAGCATTCGTGAATAATCCATTTCCTAAATGGAAGAAAAAGAACATAATTTTATTTAATTATTCCTAAAAGGAAATTTTTTAATTTAAAGAAAAAAATTAGCATAATACTTTATAACAATGAAAGTATATTTAAAAGTACAAAGTCATAGAAATTTTTTAACAAAAATTGAAAATAATATACATCAAATCATGTGGTAAGTGCAAAACACAGAGAATGTACACATTTTTAAAATGATTTCAATAAAGAATTATCCTTTTTTTTATTAAAAAAAGTGAATATTTTGGAATAAAAATTTTTGGCAATGAGAAACATTGTTTGCTACTTTTAAATTTATTCTTTTTTCAAAATGTTGCATGTCAAAAAGCTGTGGCTTGAAGGATATGCTACTTTTAAATTTATTCTTTTTTCAAAATGTTGCATGTCAAAAAGCTGTGGATTGAAGGATATGCTTTTGCCCTTTATGAAGATAGATATTCTTATTCCATTATTCAAACATTATAAAATGTAAACATATTAAAATTTTTAAGTACAAAATAATCAACTTTATTATTATTAATTAGAAAGGGGAAAATCCCATTAATCATTGCGTCTGCATGGAACAAAGCCTTTGAACATGTACCCAAAAAAGGTATGTACTATTTCTAATGGTTCAAGTTATACTGTTCGTAACAATAGAAAATCCACTGATGCTATAATCAGTTGCAAGTCATTAAATACATCTGTAGCAGCAAAAAATAAAACAATAAGCAAAGATTTATAACTCAAAGGCTCATAATGTTCACCAGCTTTTGCTGAGGCATGTGGCTCAGTGCAGAACAATTCGTAGAACCTTGTATGAGAACTATTTAGCAGGAGATAAATGGAAAAACAGTGGGACCCTAAATGACGCAAGTATTTGCCCAAAGGACTGCCACAAAAAACAGGTTTATTTATTATTTGAAAACAAAGAGAGAAAAATGTGTAAATCCAGTTCCATCAATGCACAGAAAGTTTCAGTAATGAGTTTATGACTGTTGCATGATTCTCTTATAATAAGAAATAAAAAATAAGAAGAGTGGGAAAAAAATTTAAATGAATTCAATATACTATCAAGACTTACATCCGACACAAACAGAAAAAATTCCATTTCTTTATCCCAAAAAGTGAAAAATTCATCAAGACAAAGCAACAAAACACACTTGAAAAAGTACAACTGCATTCCTTGAAAAAATGAGAACTAATACAGTTATTGAATGTATAACTTTTCAAAATATTCCTCTGAAGTTCCGTGACCTTTCAACTATGAACTATTATGCCTTTAGTTTCTTGAAAGAGCTCTTTCTAAGCACAAACCCACTACGATTGGAAATGGAAATCAATGCCCTTGGAAATTTTACAAAAAGCTCTTCTATTGTGGAAATCACGATGCAGACTTATAAGTCCAGAAAAAAGGTAATTAGACTGAACATTTTAAGAAGTATTCTTTCCGTTTTACATATTAATTAAACAGCCCTAAAACTGCTCTCAAAATGCATAAATACCCTCTGCATGTGTCTCAGTAGATGAGAAATAAATTTGTGAACTAATAATCAATAACATGTAATAGTTGCTGACAAGAAATATATATTTCCTTGCATAAATGGATTTACCATGAATTCTAAATAAGATTAAGTAATTAATTATTACTTACAGCACGTAGTTCTTCGCTGTATTCTTTTTACCACATTTGTGACAATTGCGCAAGTTATTTAATATATAAAATATATCTCTTTATTTTAAAAATGTTCCATTTATCCTACTTTACTTTCATAAAAACAATTTTCATCCAAACAAAAACAAAAAAGTACAAACTTCTCTCTCCTTTTTTTCGAGGGAGGAGGAAGAAAATGTGAAACTATTATTTACCACTTGTTTTATACAATAGCTGGAAAGAAGTAAGTCTAATTTTGAAACAGCAAACACAGACCACGTACTATACACCATAATTCCAGGTGGTAGTGTATGTATATACTTATTCTTTCATTTATAATTTTTTATCATATTTACTTATAATACTGACAAAGTGCAATGGACTTTTTCCTTACATGCCAAAGCAGGTATAGACTTTGATGTGTTTTATTTGATATTCTCAGTGTTTATTACATTTCATCTCAAGTGTAATGAGCTCTACAGTGTAATAAATCAAATCAGTGTTTCGTAAATCCAACATGCAAGGTCCGACCCTAGACGAACTTAAAATTATCAACGACTTGTACATATTATCTATTACAATCTTATTTTATTATACCTATTTATCATTATTTTACTCATTTGATTGCAGATGCCATGAAAATTACGTATTTACACAGAAAGACATGCTTCTACATGCAAGCAACAAAAGATTTCCCACATTGTAATTGGCGCCACAAGCAGGCGCTCATATCTACTTCTCTACGAGATTACTGCACTCATAGTGCTAAAGACTTTCCACTTGTTTGGATTATATTATTCATTCTTCAAATGCCATAAGAACTAATGAAATTAGACTGGTAAAGGCAGTCTTAGACCACATGCCTTTTACACAAATGATGATCTGCAAATAGCATACGTATTTTGGGCAGCTTTGCCAGACGTTTTGTTTGTTTATAGAGAACAGTCAGACAGACAAATATTTTAGTAAAAAGTAAAAAACACTATTGTGTTTCATTGTATTTTAACACATGACTATAAGTCTTTCACATGAGGTAAAGCAAACTATAAACCCAATATTCGACAGAAGACCAATCAGTCATTGAAATAGTTTATACAGTGATCTAATGATTACAACTTACGATAAAACGTTAATAAAAGATCTTTGTCATCTTTCTTCTCACTTAAGCCTTTACCAAGTCTCTTACAACTTCACTGACACACTATTATTACTGCTATAATGAGGAAAATACAAATGAGCCACTAAAACTATTTGGAAAAATCATTCTCCAATCATTCTTCAAAGTGTGTTTTCTAGAAACTATTACAACATCACCAAGGCCTGGAATATTAAAAGCTTATATTTACATTTCTACCTGAGCAATTGACAGAATTCCACTCTATTATGAATTATAAAGTATTATTTTATATGTATATAAGAATACAATATTTAAAAGCTCTATCAAATACACAAGAAAATATATGCAAAATTATAACAAATAAATGAAAATAAATACACAGTTATAGTAAACAGGTTTAAACAAATATAAATAAAGAAAATATTTTCATAATGTTGAAATATAAACTCTGGAAATTCTTAGAGTTGCAATTTTATAAACTAAAAATTATGTTGATTAAAACATACATTCATCAACAATACAGATTCAATAAACTGTACTTAAAAACAGAACCTTTTAAAAAATATACCACTGGAAGTAAGTGACATTTCAAACATTTGTTCATTAATTTTACTTATTAATTGATTACTATCAACATGTTATGTAAAATACAAACCTGTAACGGTTTCAAAGAATTATTGATAGTAGGCACGATCCATTGTTGCACTAAACACAGAATAAGTTGGGAAAGAAACAGCTGTAATGAAGAAAATATTTTTAAATGTTAAATGTATAAAATTTAAAATTAAAATGCAATACAAAATATTTGTAGGTAGTTTCTCTTTCAAAAATTCATATCATCATTCCTTTTATAATTCTACCATTCCTTCAAATTCATTCATAAAATTAAAATTTACAAGTGCTACCTCATAATTTTGTAAAAAAATTTTATAAGATTTTAAAAAAGGCATTATGGCTAATTTCCTCAATTAAATCGTCTATTTAATTTATCATTGAAAAGATTAATTTGTTTACATTTTGCTTATAAATTTGCATTTATATTCAATTTTGATGATAATTAATTTTGTAACTGGCTTAATTTTTCATCTTTTTGCCTACATTTGTCGCTATTTTCAATTTAAGTCATTTTATTTACTATTAAACTTCCTATCACTTTATTTTCAGTTAAAAATTTCACTACGCAAAAGGAATTTTTTTACTATTTTATATTGCTCAGCCTATAAAAGTGAATACCTAATTAGGATTATTAGCTTTTACTTCGTGCAACTGAGGGTTTGTCAGTTTGGAATGTTTAAAGAGTTGAGAAAGCATTTTCTCAATCATTTCTAAAATTTTGATATAAGTAGTTTTAATATTACTGCTAAATTAGAGATAGAGGTTAGATTAAATTTAGCATAAAAGATGAGTAAAAGAGAAGTCATTAACATTACTTAACATTTCCAAGACACACTCATCTTTCAGAATGGAATTTCATTTCTTGAAAAGTTTCCGATTAATATACATTTTTAACTATATTTGGTTTATCATTTCATTACCATTTTCCTTTCATTGCATTTGGTTATTATAGACATTTTACTTAGTCTCGGCATAGACAATTCATTTTACTATACACTAAAAATTCAATTTTCATGACTTTTTTTAATTCAGATATGAATGAGACGAAAGCTATTGAAACTAAAAATTTAAAACTAAAATGCTAAACAAGATATTTACAAAAGCATTCTCTTTTCAAAATTCATGTTAAAAAAAAAACATTCCTAATATTATGAATTACAAGTATCTTCAATCTCTTCAACAGTTCAAAAATATAAGAGTGATTTCAAAGATAGACAAATTGCTGAAATGCAAAGTAGAACACTTATGTTAATAAATGCATTTTAGCCGTTATTGTACTTCTTAATGATGCTTCCAAAAGCTATTCCTCTTGCTATAAATTAAAATTTCAGAAGAAATAAATTTTATTTATGAAGAAATAAAATTTATTCCTTCTAATCAGAAATCTCTAATCAGAAATTTTTTTCTAATCAAAAAAACTTAATAATTACTGACTGAATATTTCATTGTCTTCACAGTCACAATTGTATACTCAATGCCTCAAAGTAATAACTTTAGTATTTACAAAACACAAAGGGGGTCTTTGGTGAATGCAGAAAATAAGTCTAAAACAATATAAAATAATACAAAATAAAATTATTACATTTGATACATTCTGCAGTCCTTAATAGCACTGATAGCGTTTCTACTATTTATTTCTACACATGAATAAAAAATATGTAGAGAAAGATTCAGTTAAACAAATAGAAACACTCACTGCTGTGATTCAGCATTTTTGCTTTAAAATCTACAGTTTTATTATTATTATTATTATTTTATTTCTTTGTAAGTAAATTCAGGAGAAAAATGAAATGTTATTCTAAACTAGTACATTTTTAATAAATAAAGCTATTAGAAAGATAGTCATTGAAAAAAAGAGCAATAAAGAAATATAAAAATTAGTTATAAACATAAAATAACTTACAACAGAATTGTATACATTAAAGCTTAAAAAGAAGGGCAGGGAAACTTTATTTACAAAGAAAAAAAACATTCAAAGAAACATAAAAATGGAAATATACCATTTCCAAAAGACGTTTAACCAAAAATCGTTTCCTGATACGAGCTGTACGTGGAAAATTCAGCTCATAGCACAATGTAGGAGCAAACAGAAAATAATATGCATCTAAAAGGAAAATATTTCAAATTAAACAAATAAGAAAACCAGAAATAAATTTCATAGAAAATATAAAACAAACAGTATGTTTATGTTGAGAAAATAATACTTTCATATCTTACAAGGAAAACAGTTCTTAATGGAAGAAAGATTTGTATAATGCTAACTCATAAAGCTTTTAAAGTAGCAAACTTTTTGCTCATTTCTGCATCTAATATTTTACCTCAACTACTAACATGAAATCTGCATGACTCTATAGCAAACTTTTTGCTCATTTCTGCATCTAATATTTTACCTCAACTACTAACATGAAATCTGCATGACTCTATGCTGCCTTCTTCTTTCTATTAAAATTCTTTCTGACATACACTGCTCATGATTCACAAAAATTTACCATTTCTAATGAATGACATTCCAATCCAATTCATTCTTCCTGATGCTTTCAGAATTCTACGAGTTTATTCTTTCGTATATATCACAAGAACCTTAATTGTATAGTTTTCTTCAATAAACAGCATTACCTTTTCTTTTTGTAACACCCATTGATTTCTTCATATATCTCATTATTTCAAACTTTACACAATTTGCCATTTCAAAATTTATTATTAAAATTATTTTTAAAAATACTTTTGAGGAGACTAAAGAAGAGGAACTTATGTCAAATTACCCTCAATATCATATATATATTTTTTTTTTTAATCCAAAACTGCTTTCTTGCTTAGTTGTATACTGAAAGTCTTGGTTACTTCTTGAGATTGTATGATTGACCAGTTATTGGCTTGGCATAAAGAACGGTAGCCACAGAACTGGTTTGACAAGAGTCAAAAATATGCTTGCAGGGGGGGGAGAAGAAAGAGAGAAGTATACGAACAGAAAATGGTGGATTGTGTGGCAGACACCAAGGGTTTGTTATTAGAATTAAATATTTTTAAAAACTCTTTAAAAACCAACTAATCTAGGAATGCAGGGCCCCTTTCACTATAACAATACTAAACTCTCAACAGGAGTATAGTGACCTTCAGGATGTGCAGAACTGATTTCTTGGCTGGGCCAGCTTCCAAGAACCTGGGACTTCAAGAAATAAAGTTTTAAAGAACTTTATTAAAAGGGACCAAAGAAATAAAGTGTGTGAGAGAGAATTATAGTAAAACATCTATTAAAGTGCCCTCAGTGCATGATTTTCAGACTGCCTGCATATCAATGGGTAAGTAAATGTACAAGATCAACCATGAAAATGGTTTATAACACTAATCCTCTATTATTCTTTTAAAAATTGCTTAGTGACAATATGAAACACTCTAGTATCGTAACTAATTCAAAATCATACATACAAAAGTTTACAAAATCTTTCCAATACTCGTGAATTGAAAAACATTAATCATCACATCAGAGGGATATTTCAATATATGCCTCAAATTAGGTGCTCCAGACTTTAAAATATTATCATGTCTTGCCATAATTAGAAAAAGTGTCTATACATACATTAAACACAGGCAACCATTTTGTTGTCAGAGTTCACAAAAAGCAGCACAAAGTGTCGTAACAACCAAAACAACCAAAATTTTTTAATCTTTAAATTCAATTTGCACTTTTTTTGGGGGGGAGGGGAGGTATTACTTGCAATTTTAAAAGTGATGAATTATAATTAATTTTATAACTTGTATTTCCGTGGAATTATTTATTTTGTAACCTTTTCAAAAATAAATATGAAGCAATTTGTTTAACATATAAAAGACTATCTGATGAAAGCAAGTCCTTTCTTTAATATTTTAATTCTATTGCTTAAATGTGAGATACTTAGTGATAAAATGTTTAAATATACTCTACATTTGTCTTGAACTAGCTTTATCATAAAAAATATTTGTATAGTAAACTATATTGATTGATTTTAAAACCAATCTAAACCTAATGTAGTTAAGTTAAATTAAACAATACTGTTCACATTTTTAACAAAGTTTTACACGACTTTTATAAAAAAAAAAGTATTTTTACTATGATTTCCTTGACATTGCTGATACAATACAATAATTTCCAAATGGAGAGTTAAATATTTGATTTTTCATGTTCTTTAATCTAAATTCAAATTTTTCTTTCAACTCAAATCAAATCAAATTTGTATAGTTTCCAAGCATAATTTTGTGTGACATGCAAAATTAAAACTTCAACTTATATCACCCAAAATTTTAATGTCATTTCAAATGTACACTTACAAATCAATTTTAATAAAATGTTTTAAAATAACATTTATCTTACTTTAAAAAACTAAAATGCATTTTTCCATAACAACTATCTATGAGAATCCCATTTATTTCCAAAGTTTTCTTTAATATTCCAAAATCCTTCTCTTCAGCATACTTTCTTTAGAAAACATTTTAAAAAAGAATTTAAAGAATTTTGTATATTCCAAAACAGCCCTTCATCAAACAATCTTAAGATTACTAAAAAACAACTTTCACTAGCAATTTATAATAAAACTACCACATATTGGTTTGTTTTATTTGATTATAGCAAAGAACTCGATAGCTATCTGCCAAAGGGAAGGAATGCCATCATGGAGGACTTTCTAAGGGAACTGGCTCATATACATGTTACACATGAGTGAAACTATGAAAACGCACATGCAGCCAGACCGTTTGCCGAGATTTGAACCCTGGATCGAACTACCAGTGTTCAGCAACTTTACCACTTGGCCACTGGTAGTCCTCTACTACATATTAAATGAACAATCAAATACTATAGTCACCACTCTACTAATATGGTTTACAGTATGTATTCCCAACCTTTTTCTTGCTTTGACCCCTATTAAAAGAATGGTTTTCTTTATTGACCCTCTTATATTTTTCTCTAAAATAAACATCATACAGTATAATAGTAGAAATAATTGCATACAAATTACTTTTAAAATACCATGCTAAGGACATAAGCAAAAATTTTTAAACAAAAAATGGTTTATTAAATTTATGTTTCATTACTTTTTGTACTTGTTTTTAAATTTTACAAATATGAACAAGTTTTTAGAAATAAATTTAGATTCTAGTAGCATAAAGCTTCAGTTTTATATAATGCAATGGCTGTACTTGAAGTACTAATGCAATTTTAAACGAAATACTAAAAAATAATTGTGTAAAATTGTTTAACTTAATTTGTAAATCATTTCAGCCCCAGAAGTATTCAACCTGTTTCTTGTTTTCTTTAACAAATTAATGACTTTACTAAAATCTGCTATCACTAGGTAATACAAGGGAAAAGTCAATATTGTTGGTTTGGTAACAATTTTTATTTTTTATTTGAGATATTTCTTTCGGGTGACTTTTAAAATTCAAAATTTAGCATACCCATGTGTTTTGAATAAGACTTGTGCTTGATCACCCTTCTTTAATGCAATCGGCCTCTGTTGCATCATAATATCAATATCAACACTATTGCAATTCATTTGGAGTATCACAATTGAATTGTTAATGTCTTGGGAGAAAATATTTTAACATTTACATATACTGCAAATGACTTCTATATAGCAGCATATCATTTGAGAAAGTTATGAGTTACTCACACCTCCTTCCCTTCCGTTGTGTGTGTGTGCTCCTGCATTTGATTTTTTAAATTACTCTTACTGAACAAAAATTTACATATTTTAAAAAAATATTATTGAATTTTAATATATGTTATGTAATTTTTTGCATTTTCTCCTGTGTTCTTTTTTACTACATGAAACAGCTTTGTATTAATAAATAATTATGGATTTTATTAATATATTTTTTTAATCAGTGGGATTCCAATTATGCCAATGGACTGTATAACTGATAAATGATGCCCTTAAAATTTCATCGACTCCCCCCCAGAGGGTCTATACCAACCCCATTAGAAACCCCTAATTTACAGAAAAAAAAAAAAAAAGGTAGATTTTTTCCTCTAGCTAATTTCAAGGCAATCATATAAATTATCAGCATTTTATTCTATACATACTTCAAAGAAAAGTAGGCTATTTTCACTCCAAAATTAAAATACTGGATATCCAGCATTATTTGATTTAAAATAACTACTTCTTTAGCCCAAAGATTACAGTACACAAAAGCTTCCAAAAATTATTTTTCATTTATTTCATTATAAAATTAAAATCCTAATCAATAAAATAATTAGATTAGTCACATAGTGCAAGTTTGATTAGAAAGTAAATGAAATAAAATATGTACTAGTTATATTTAAAAAGCTGTGTAATCTAGGACAAAATATTGCAATGAATCCCATATTAATGATTTTCTTCTAAAATAATCTATTTTCTAACAATACACCTTGTATTTATGCAAATCGAAGATATTTTCCCTAACAGCTTGACACTTTAAAATTGAAACATTCAACAAGAAATACAGCCAAGTCCATTGGTAATTTAACAGACTCATCAAAACAACCTTTCCCCACTGGCAACTGAACACAGGCAACTGAATGTTACATCTGAAAGAAAAGCAAAAACCAAACACACAGATAACCACACCTTACACACAAATCAAACCTATACTCTAGGCTTCTGCTTTTGCTTACCAACAAGAGAGCAATATATGAAAATTATTAGTCAACATTATATAAAATATTCACCCTTTCAAACAAACATAAAAATATAATTTCATAAAAATTTTTCAATTATTTGTCTTACTGGCAGAAATAACTGTTTACCTTTTAAATTCAAGTTATCAGGATAATGTACTAATGTCGAAGAAATAGTACCATTTCCAACATCTGTTCCTAGAATTTAAAAGAAAAATTAATTCAGCGACAATTTAAAAAGAAAAGCTGCAATCAAAATTAATTAAATAAATCCAATAAAGGAAACAATATTTAAACAAGATTGCATTTTTAAATGGTATGCACCTCTTTAAATTTACCTCTTTAAATGGTATGCAAAGAAATTGTGCATTAATAAAAGTAATGTACAGTACAAAGTCTTTAATCTGGACTCGTCAGGACTTCGGCGATTCCGGATTAGGGGTTTTTCGGATTATAGATCATCAATTTAAATCTCGTAAGATGGCATGCAGAAATTATAAAATTAAAAATATAAAAGTGTAATTTATGAAATAAAGAGCAGTTGTGCTCTAAAGCGTATCAAAATTTACAAAAAAAAAAGCTTAATATTTATTTGTTTACTATATTAAACATTTCTTTCAATGTAAGTTGTTATGTAAGTTCAATATAAGTTGCTTCGTTTTTTGTGCTAATACTTTCTCTTTAATTCTACAAACAGACATAATTTCTTGTTCAGTTCCACTGTTCAAGTCCTGTAATTGCTGTGTCGAGAATACTGACCAAATTGTGAATCGAAATTTTTTCGTTTTCAATAACCTCTCTGTCACTTTCTTCACTATCGGAAGCGGTACATCGAAACATGCTTTCGCTTTGTAGATCCTTTGGCAGCTCTAGAATCGGAAACTCTTTTTGAAATAATCAAAAGTTCAAGCTTACTTTTTATAAAATTGCTCTAACAGTCTTCAAAAAATAATAAGCCGGATCCAATTAGAAGATTAAGAAACAACGCAATCTGTAACATTAACTGAAATAGATAATTAGATAATTTTAGCCTAGCTTATACCGTCCGATATACATTAAATGCATATATCCATGCGTAAACGCATTATGCATTTTAAAGCTTTGAGGTCCGGATTATGGACGTTCGGATTAAGGACTTTGTACTGTATAACTAAGTTCTTTTGCTCCCTCTAATTGCAATAACTTTCATTTGTTTTAATTTGCTTGAGATAATCTAAGAAACCTCTTTGTGTGCTTTAATTTGCTAGAGATAATTTAAGAAACCTCTCATTCCCAAAACTTTCCATTGAGGAAACGGGCAAACCTAAATTCCAAAACTTCTATGATTTCTAAACTAAAATTAAGATATTTACATTGTAATGCTTTATCATCATTCAAGTACACATAAAAAGCATTAATAGTCTTTGCATGACAAAATGAAGCCATGTAAACAATGTAAAATGACATACAATATTACAAGCACTGCTTAGCAATCAATACCTATTTCATAATAATTGCACACTAATCAATAAACATTTCACAATGATTATATGCTAATCAAAAAACATTTCATAATGACTGTACAGTAAACATGAAGAATATTTCATAATGACTGCATGCTGCTTCAAAAACTTTTCATAATAAAAGTAACTGATTTAAGAATAAGACTCAAAATAAGTTACCTCTTGGTCTACCCCTGTCAGATGAAACACTGCGTCTGCGAGTTTTCTCAGCAGGAACTCTTTTTTCTCTACACCAATAATTCACCATATGATAAGATATTAGCTTGAGAAAAACAATGCTCACAAATCCTAACACAAAGGAAGCAGCAACTAAAAAACAAAAATATCATATAACTAAATCTTAGCCAAAAAGAACAGTTTAAATTTTTATGACAATAAATTATTAACTATAAAACTTACTGCAAGACATACATCCAGCGGTATCTCACTTAGCACACATAACCTGTCCCCCAATCAGTATTGAAAAATGTGAATCATTTGTTATGCCTTTAGTATTTGTAGTTTTCAACAGATTACTATAGGATAATTTTTACCTACTGCTGAATCTGGTCTGAAATTGCAGACATTGTAAAAGATTTCAGCAACTATTAAAAACCACCATCAGATTTGAAAACACGGGAAATTTACTAATTTCTAGTTATAAAAAATACTCACATAAGTTTTGTAGTTTAGTTTATTCACTTTTTTTAGGGCTTTCTCGTGTTTCTGGTCAAGGAAAGACTGCAGATCTTCCTTCACAATATAATATTAAGAAACACATTTTCTTTCTACCCTTTTACTAGTTGTTATTCACTTATATGTTGTTAAAACAGTGAAACAAATTTAGCTCAACATTTTGTGCACAACGAAATTTATGAGCACTTTGTAATGCAGGACAAAGTTCATCGTATAACACATTTTTTTATTTCCTAGATGAGTTTGACGTATCTCCTACCCACCCCCCAAAAAATCAGTTAGAAGAAGTGGGAATCAAGAATGAATTCAGATTTTAACAGCTACCCAAAAGGGGTCTTTTAAAGTTTGAAATGGTTCACAGAAGGGATTATTGACAGAGATGGCCAGGGTCGAATAGCAGAACATATTATAGGATATTAGATGAATTTAGACTAGCATAGGAACATTACATAACTTCTATATATTTAAAAAAGTGAAAATATGTAGAGTAAAAAATAATTAATGTTTTAATTAGATATATCATGAATTAAATGTCCTTTTATCTCAATCAATCAGATTAAAAAGTAAAAAAATATTTTTAAGATATGCACCTACTGCTTCTAAATAGTTTAGTTTATTAATTAATAACAAACAGGTTCAATATGAAAGAATAAATCTTACATTCTTCTGAATAGCAACAGACTCAAATGAACAGTGAAACGCAAGATCGCGCTTCAAGATTAATAGCCCTTTAGGCTTAGAAAAAAAGAAAGAAAAGCCATGCTCATATGAAAAATAACTACCATCTTATTAACAATAAATAATATATTTAAAAATATAAATAAGTAATATAAGTAAAGCAAGACAATTCTTAAACTGAAAATAGTTTACTGTAATCAATAATGACAATTTCATTATCAATAAAATATCTTATTTTATTATAATGTTCTAAAAAATAATTATAATAAGACAAATTAGGTCACACTAATGATTAATTCTGAACTAATGACTAAGTTTCATCCTAATGACTAATAAAGTGTCTCAGTATAAAATTTAAACTAACTGCTGTATTTCTTCAGGCTTAAAGAAGCGAGCAGATTTTTCATACATGTTTCATATTGTGTGTTTGAAAATTAAGCAATAATTTGTCCTTTATTTCTAATTAAAGATAACATGTTAATTTAATTTTAATACAAATATTAATATTATTAATAAAATGCTATGCACTGCCTCTAGAGAATTAGGAAAATTCCGCATCAAAATTTTAAATAAAGAATAATACAAAATGAATGCAAATACAAACACCAAAAGGTGCAGAATTATGATTTTGTCATGGTGTTGACAATTTACAGCTCTGCAAATCAAAGCCATTATATGAGATCAAAATTGCCATTCAGAAGAATTTTGTTTTGACGTATTGTATTTGACATATTATATTGTATCTTCTTTAATTAATATGTTTTAATATTTAGAAAATAGTATGAGCAGTGTCAAAATTATTTAATGGTAATCACACACAATAGAAAGCAAGTTAATATTTGCAATTTAAAATTATTTTCTCATACTAAAATAATGTAGTGAAAATTGCAAAGTAATGAGCTAATTCAACATTAAAAGTTTTAATTTAAATTTTGGAAATGGATTATTTTGCAGTGTGCTTTTCAAATAAATTCTAATGAAATGCAGTAATATAGTTATTTAAACATGACAAATAATTCTGTTATAACAGAAATGACAAAATAATAGGAGAACATCTGACACTCCGCGGATTGATAACTGCAAAAAAAATTTTATCTGCAAAACCTCAGCAAATTTTCATATATTTATTAAACTAGTCTTTAAAATTCATGCTACAGTAAACTTGTTACTAAAACAATACCTTAATAATGTATCCATAATATACATCTATATTTGCATATATGCAGAGTAATTTAAAAAAAGAATATATTAATTGTATTGAATTTAGTTAACCCTTTATTTGGCAAGATTGCTCACAAGCAACCAGTCATTTCATCATTTGCCAATTAAAGGGTTAATTAAAAGGGGAAAAACCTGCTTAAACTCCACCTCATTTTTAAATAAGCACTTCAGATTATGAAACTGAAAAGTCTCAAACAGTTTCCTTGCCATCAAACTTTCAACAAGATTCTTGGGCTGACTGATTTTAAGTGTCCTCATTCTCAGATATTATAAATTACTTACATCCACGGCTTACTGGGGGTTTAAAGCCAAGCCCATTAATATAGCAATACATAATGTATAGTGAAAAACTGATAAATGAATTTTAATGGATATATATTCTATACACATTCTGTTTATGACAAAACACAGAATACATAATGAAAAAGGTAATTTTTATTCATATTATTGCATTCATACGGGTTCATTATGGATTGAATAATGCATACAGAAATGATGATAGCTTGAAAAAATTAATTTTTCAAAAGAAACACTTTACAGTTCTACAACTGTCAAAAAAAAAAAAAAAAAAAAAAAAAAACTCATACAGCTCTTCCCAGTATCACAGAGCACAATCAGTAGTTATACTTAAAAACTACTAAGAATGTTAAAAACAATCTAATGAAAAGCAAAAGGCAAAACTCTCGCAGATATTTTAATACTCCAAAGCCAGCTGTGAATCAACACCTGAGAAACTGATACTCTCCCTGGTCTTGTATAGTTTTACCCCAGGCAGAGAGAAATCTCTAGTACCCTTCACTTCTTGAAATGAATGGAAGACATATGAAGGCCAGATATGTTACAGTTAGGCATCAATTACAGTTATTCAGGGACCAGAATAAAATGTCACCCAGTTTGGCAAATTTTTGGAAAATTTGGTGACAAAAATTAGTCACCAAAACCATCACCAGCTTGGTCATATCTCAGCAATTTAGCGAGATAGCCATTTACCTCAATGAGTTGCTCCTATAATCTTATTTTTCTGGCAGAGCTTCGTCTCTTACAAATATTTTGTTACATTATATAAATAATACTACACTGTTTTACGTATAAATTCACTAAAATTATTTACATCCGTACAAAATTCATGACAATATATATTATTAAATGCAACTGAGGTTTCCACCTATGACAGCAAATATCTTTGTGAATACAATACAGCAGCTATCAGCTCTGTTTAAAAGCCTGCAATCTAATTATAAAAGCAAGTATGTATCAAGTAGCTGATGACAAATAGCAATTTTTGGAGGGCAGAAGGTTCTTTCTGAAGATTAATCTAATTTATACATGCTTAGAAACAAAAATTATACCTTTATAGATGTCCACCTTAAAAAAACTGGAAGGTTTTTATACTACGCAGAGACACTATTTCAAAAGAAATACAAATAGATAAATTTGATTTAAAATTATTTGGTAACGAATGATTCTATGAATTTGGTAACGAATTATTTGGTAATGAATGAATCATGCAGGTAAACCTAGTAATGTACCATTTAAAGTTTTAAAACAAAATTAAATAAATATTTGCCTACTAAACATCAGTTTTATATATTATACATATATTTATCTTTGCAGAAAGCTCTGCAAATTCGTACTAATGATTGGAATAACTCAAATCATATGCAAATTTAAACAGAAAAATTATTAGTAAAAAAATATAAAGTCTGCATACTTAATGCTTCACTAAGAAATAAAAATGTAGCCCTTTTTAATAGATAAGATTTTGTCCTGGTGGGGGGGGCGGCAAGCATTTTCTTTTTCTTCACTACTTCCTATTAAACAGCAGTTCCAAAGCTAAATTGAACTGGGATTCCACTGGGAGAATTTAAAGCTCTACATTTTGTAACCTTTTCAAGTCAAAATATCCTAAAATCTGTGGTTTTCTTATAAAACTAACATAAATCTAAAGCTGAATTTCAGATAATTTGAACCCCAAATTGGCAAAATTCTTTTCCAAGTTTAATCAAAATTATTTTTAATTTAATAATGTAATGAAGATACACAATGTTCTTAAAATATATTTAATTAGCTCATTACCTGCATGACAATCTGTCAAGTAGACTACTAAAGGTGGAAGCAGAACTTCAGCAGTGAGTAAAGCAACAATTAATACAAAACCAATTTGCTCATTTAGTCGACCCTATGAAAAAAAAAAAAAAAAGGATCACACTGTGAGTACAGGAAAAAAAATTAATAAACACACAAGCTACACCACTAGAAATATTATTTTGAATACAACAGTTAAACTTTATTCACTTTAACTCTTTGAAGATTAAAATGAAGATGGTCTTTCATTCAAATGACCACAACCACCCAAAATGGGCAAGATTGTATTATTTTCTTCCTTTCCCTAAGCTATGCAGTAGCAGGTGCAGTTTCCCCAAATGCATTGCAACAGTTTATTGCAGACAGCTTGTCCTAAAAGGCTAATGGAAGCTTTTTTATTAGGAAGTAGAATGGACACAATTTGAAATCTTCACACCTCTTTGTGCGTTAATGGATGGGGAGGGGAGGAAACAGATGGGAAGGGTAATGGACGGGGATGGACATTTCAGTATTTTAAGCATACAGGTTAGTGAAGAACTTCCGTTTTCTAAGGGTTAAACATAGGTACTTTTTTGGTTAATGGAGCACCATTTGGTAACAAATGTAAATACTGGTATGAAATTTAATAAAAGACAAGAATGACAATTTTAATAACAGCTTCATTAAAAGGACTATTTTACTAAATTCAAAATGAATATAAATGACAAACACAAAAATTCACAAATAAAAATGCACATATTTGTCCCAATAGACATTATACAGTGATTCATTCCCAGTTGCAGAAGAATGAATTCTACAAACATAACTTTTCACACCAAACTTAACCAAACACATGTCAAAGAGGGAATGCACAGAATTTTGAACCAGCCTCTATAAATTCTTCTTCTCACAGCATAATCTTTCACTGCAGCATTATTTTGGTACAAACAAAGCAAAGATGATACATTAATTTTCGAAGAATTTAATAATAGCTATCCAAGACATCTTGTAATTGTCAAAGCATGCAATTCATATTAAATTTCTTTCTTTAAAAGAAAAAAATCAATATAGAAGCAACTGAAAAATCTTAGAGGGAAAAAGATTATTATCAGTTATTCATGATGTAAAATAGTTTACCACATTTGGTACTTTGTCATCTATTAACCTAAACATATCATACTTAACATTCATAAATGCATTAAAAATCTAAAATATATCATAGATATAAATCCACACATAATTAGAAAGAATAAAAATTCACTTAGGCAGGTACCTCCCCCCCCCAAAAAAAAAGAGAGAGAGAGAGAGAAACATAAATACATGTTTCTGTTTTAATTTAAAAGAGCCATAGTATTGGATATGATCTTGCAAAACATTTGCTTTCCACAAAATGAAAAAAGTAAAATATGAAATAAAATGAATAATTTACAAAGGTACTTGCATATTAACACAACAACCTTAGCACAATTTGGTGATTTTTTTAACAGATGAAAAGGTAGAAGTTACTTATCATGCGCAAGTTGGTGGAAATTGCACAGGGAAAAAATTTCATATTCCGGCAAGGTAATAAACTAATGCACAGCCAGACCTAATATAAAAACGACTACTTAACCATTACAAGCTATAACTACATACTTTTACTCAGTTCTCATGATACCAACACCATCAAAAATATCCCTCTTACACTTGAAATAAGTATACAGAGCAAAGGTAATTTCAAACAAGTCCTACAAGAAGAATGGAACATAGTAATCTTAATAGTTTAAATAAAAAATGTGCACTGATAATTTAAGATGCTTCAATTATTTTTTAGCTTTAGGTTCTTAATTTCAACCTCAGTATATATCTGCTTTGAAATATATCCAACTTAATATTCAACCTGTTTGGATGCAAAAACTTTGTTAGATATAAACTATTTGTTTGGAATGCAACTTGAAGAGTTCCATGAGTAACAACTGCAGACGCTAAAATTGTGTATTGCAGACGCTAAAATTGTGTATTGTCTCTTTCAAGACACTGCTATGACTGTCCATGAGCATCAGTATGCTTGTTGCTACTAATCAGTAAACAATCCGCACTATAAGTGTGGATTTTATGTTCTTTCGTGTCGAATTTTTTGTATATTCATTAACCCTTTGACCTATAACCACGAGTCTGACTCGTAGTAAAGAATTTATGCCATAAACATAAGCCATGAGTCTGACTCGTGGTACAGAATTTGTATCATAAACAAAAGCCACGTGTCTGTCGTAAACAAAAGCCACAAGTCTGACTCGTGGTAAAGAATTTGTGTCGTATACAAAAGCCACGAGTCTGATTTGTCTTTTGAGGAATTTGTGCATAAAATGCCACGCATTATATTAGAACAAGCGACTGGAGTTATTCTACATCGAATACTTTTCCTTTAATTGTAATGTCAGTATTTTGTTTTTTTCAGTTGCTTCTGACGAAACTGGATGATCTGTTATAGTTCCCCGTAAAGCTTCATTACGCTCACGTGTTTCAAATATAATTTCGTATAAAGAATTTAAAAACTCTTATACCCATCATGGCAAACTCTTATTCCCATCATACCCATCATGCAATTATTTTTGACAACTGATCAATTGATTATGATTTCACTCTAGACGTCTTAAAATTATTTGTGCCTAAACATTGTTTATTAATTCACAATTCCTTTTGTTACACTGAAATATATATGTCATGAAAAGTACGGCTGAACAGTTGAATGGCATGGTGCGTGACCAACTTTCTTGTTTACTATAGCTCAAGCAATTGGCAGATATTGTGTAGGCCAAGGAGTTAACCATGAGTATGAAAATGACTGAAATCAGATCCTTAAATAAAAAAGACTGACTTCATTTAATCAGAATTGATTACTTCTTTTGAAAGCAACATTTATCTTGAAAAACCTTGACGTAAAACTTAGTTTTGGAGAGCAAACATACCTAAAAGTACTCAAAAAGAGTTTTTTGAACTAAAATATTAGACAATTCTGAACAAACCCCTACGATATAGTATACCATAACTAATCTAAAAAAAAGAGACTACCACAGAGAAAACTCTGCTGAAAACAACAGAGAGAAACAGAATCATAAAGTTGAATTGGAGAGTACAAATATTTAAATCACATTTTATGACATATAAACTCATACAGATGCACTCACTCACCTTTGAAAGCAATTTTTCTATACCTAATGATAACAGTGGAACAACAGTCAGTCCTAAAATTTAAAAAAAATTATTCAGAAATGAAATTTTATAAATTGCAGAATTTAAATATACTGTTTATTCGATAACAAAAGCAGAATTCTGGATAAAATTAGATAAATTTGAGAATTTTTTAAATTAATATTATAATTCACATAAAATTTTAATTTGGATCACATTATCATTCTTTTTGGGGGGGCACACAGTGTAAATTCATGTTTGGACTGCCTAAAAAAATTGCTCCGATTTTCTTCGTACATTACTTTTTAGAAACTGACTTTGACAGTAAAAGGTAACTTTTCTTGATCCCGATCAGCATTTCAGTCAGTATTATTTGATATAGATACAAAATTTTCTGTTGTTCAAATACTTGACATCTTTTGCATAATAACTGCCGCTAAATCTAACAAAAATAAAATACCTTCATTTTGATGATATTGTCTGATGAACGGTGTTTCATTTTTCAATTGTCATCATTTAAAACTGCTTACAGTTCTATGAAAACAGACTGGTTTAAAAAAATTGCCATCTGCATCCATGGTGTGCCATACCATCACTTTTCTTGTGAATTTTTCTTTATGCGTAAGTACACAAATTAATGTTAGGGAATATTGAATAATATATAAGTGCAAAATTCAGTATCAGGGAATGTTCATTATAGCACAAATCAGTATTTGTAAATGCTAAATGTTAATATTGAATTTAAACACTAAAGGATTTTAAAAGTGGTAAAAACAAAAAATAACAACCCTTGAGTTTACCTTGGGTAGTATTTTAAAACTGGAAAAATAATGCAAATTATAAGTTATTTTATAACAGCTATTGAAAAATGCCTATTATAAAAACATTTTGATTTTTAGTGTTTAATTATTTAAGACCCTATAACTGGGAAATGAGAGATTAAAACACTCACTTTGAATTTAATTTATACCCCAGTTTTACATCTGAAAAATCTGAAGGAAAAATGTGGCTTATATAGTATTTAAAGCCACTGCTGAATTTAGAATTAAACATTAAACATGAATCATCATGATATGAAGAGTTTCCTCACACTTCCTGATAGAATGAATTGCTTACAAATTTTTAGGCAAGTTATTTGTTCAGTTCTTCTTAAAAAAATTTTGTTTTTTGTATTTTTAGAACCATTTTCTTGGTACAAGATTTCAAGCCCATATCTTGCTTAATTAGAATTTTTTCATACCCAGTTATAACACATAGTTAACTAATGTACACTGCTGGCCATTAAAATTGCAGCACCAGGAAGGAATGATCTGATGAACGTCAAATCACATGAAAGGAAGAAGTTGGGATATGCAAATAATTAGTATTTCAGCACATTTAAATAATGCAGGAGGGAGAAACAACATCTGAAGCACTGCATAAAAGAAAAGTTGTGCAGTGGATTCCTCATTTGGAAAGGTTGGAGTTTGCTCATATCGTGTTATGTCTCAAAAAAGAAGAGGAAACATTTACCAGCAAGTGTTGAAATTTAAGAGAAGCAGAATCACTGCCTATCGAGAATATGGATTATCATTCAATGATATCATCGGGTTGCACTGGTCGACATCCAACCACTGTCATGTGAATATGGAATCAATGGGTTGCTGAGGGTCATACTGAATGGCATGCAGGATCTCAATACCTCCCATGACTAATGACCAAGAGAGCAGATATATTGTGACGTCAGCCCTACAAAACCATATGACCATACGGACCATTAGCCAGGAAATGGGCATGTTTGCAGCATGCACAATATCAGCATGAACAGTGCATCGACGTTTGCAGCAGCGTAGATCAGCATGATGACCATTACTTCATCTTCCTGGGACAATGCAGCATAGAGAGAGACATCTCTGATGTGGCAAATGATGAAGCTGGATACAGAAGTGGCACAGATGAGTCCCAGATCACTTTTCAGATGAGTCCCAGTTTTGCATGCAGTATTCTGATGACTGTGTATGTGTCTGGAGGCTCCTGCTTGTATTCAGTATCGGCATAGGGACTTTGTACCTGACGTGATGGTTGGGACAGCTATTGGGCACACAACATGCACATCTCTAGTTCGGATTGACAGTAATTTGAAAGCAGACTGGTATATTTCTGACATCGTATGTCGAGTGGTTCTGCCATATCTTCAAGGCCTGCCAAGTGCCGTCTTCCAACAAGATAATGCAAGGCCACATGTTGCATGTCATGTTCTGACCTTCCTCGACACACAGGGTATTTGATTGCTGCCCTGGCCTGCATGATCTCCAAATCTGTCACCCATTGAATACGTCTAGTCATAAGTTGCTGAGAGACTGGCCCGCCATTCGTTTCCAGCTAATACAGTTGATGAAGTGTGGCATAAGCTCGAAGCAGCATGGAATGCTTGAAGCAGCATGGAAGTGTGGCATAAGCTTGAAGCAGCAAGACTGGACTTGCCTGATTATGTCATCAAAGTCCAGTTTGACTCCATGCCTAACTGGGTAAGGGCTGTTTTAGTTGTTTCTACTAATTTTGCACCCTTCTACACCTCCAAACTGCTTATAAATTTAATCATTTTGTCTTCCTGCCACACTGTTTAAGTGCAATAAATATCTTTTTTTGCATTTGCTTTCCTTCATGGTGTTGCAATTTTAATGGCCAGCAGTGTATTTGTCTTGTTTTTATCAAATATGCATTTTAGATATGCAGCATAAGATAAAACAAGTACAGTAATTAATTTAGAAGACCACTTGTGCTTTTGCACCTGAGGATGATGATTCAGTAAAACCATCGAAACAAGTCCTGTAAAAATTTGAAAATATAACGCTGACTTTTGTTGTTTGACTTCTAAATTAATACTTGTTTGGCGTGTTATTGTATCTCAAGTACAGTAATCCCTAAATAATATAAATAATCTATTCCAAAAACACCTGTATAAGTTGAATTTCTAAACTTCTTCAGTGTATCTTTGTAAAAATCTAAAATATTTATCACACGTATGTATGGATATATCTACGCATAGTATTAGACAGTATTTTATACATGAAACATCATGCAGCATTGACTTGAATATAAATTGTGAAGACTCTCTTGCTGAAGAATATCTTGAAGGTCATGGTATGAAGTGGATGGAATGGCCAGCTCCATCTCCATACCTGAATCCAGTAAAGCATCTTCGGGACAACCTTGGGAGGCATGTTCTCCTCCAAGATCATTAGGTAATGTCTGGTCATTAACTTCCCATTTCATTTCACTAACCGACTACTTAATTAAGAGCATGGAATGTTACCATCACAATTTTCCTCAAGAAGTTGTGATATACTGCCTCTCCAAGACTGGATTTCTCAGCCAAGAGTGTTTTTTTTTTTTTTTTTTTTTTTTGTTTTTGTTTTGTTTTGTTTTTGTAATTTGTGTTGAACATGATGAAACATTCTATATCATATAAAGAAATGTTTAGTGAACATGTCATCTAAATTTCTTGTTTCTATGTTTCTTCATTCTAAAATCAGACACAGAAGATGCTGTTCCTTAACTTTTGGAGGGTAGTGCAGAATGTGAAGAACATCGTGTTTCAGCAGAAAGTGCTTTTAAAAGTGGTATGAAACGAATGCAATCCCAAAAAACAGTTCAACAAAACGAACCTACTACTTCTACTCTAATTTCAAACACATCTGCAAGAAAAGTTAGTTGTATATTCTGTGATCATCCTCATCCAAACAAGAATTGTCAAAACCAGTCAACAAAGCGTTAAGATGACAGAAAATCCCAATTTACGAGACAGAAATGCTGCCTTGTTTGCCTTAAGCCTGGTCATATGGTAAAAAAAGTGTCACAAGAGCGTAAAATGTTTGATTTGCAGATGAAGGCATTATACATTAGTTTGTCCAGATTTACATTAAGATATTAATTCATCATCAAAGGACAAAGTAGCAGAAGAAGAGCAAAAATCTATAGAGACTCTGTTGACAAATCTTCCCTCAGAACAAGAAATTTATTTGAAAACAACCACAATCAGACTATGGCAGAGGGATCAGGAAATCTATGTGAGAGCGTTGATGAATGATGGATCACATCATTCTGATTTTGAAAAGAGCTTAGTTGCTGAGTTAAATCTTTCTCTTTCCAGAAGGGAAATGTTGTCTCAAGGACCATTTGGTGAAAGAATTTCTCTGGCTGCTGAGCACAGCAGATACGCAATAAGTACTAAAAAATTAGATCAAAGGTATTCTACTTCAATGTCTCTGCTCGATCAAGAGCAGATTTGCTTAACACTACGCATAATACATGATGAAACATTAATTGTAGAGCTCTCTTCTCGAGGTATAAAATTGACAAGATGCTGAAAAAGATATGGCATCTGTAAAAGTTCTTCTAGGAGCTGACATACTTGGAAGCATTCTGACCAGAAAAACTGAGGTACTTATACCAGAGTTTCAGTTGAAGAAGTGTAGAGACCTTACTAGGTTGGACAATTTTAGGACTATGCAAGAAAAAGCACGTGGTTTATGTGGTCCTGTTAAACCTCCAAAATAACGAGTTGCTGAAGATATGTTATTTAGAAGCTTTGGCCATTACAGGTCATGCAGAAAGAAAAAATAAGATCCTTCTTGAAGAAAAAACTTTCATCCATTTAAGGAAAACCTTAAGGATATGTGAAAATCAATGTTTTAAAGTTGTTTTGCAGAGTATATAACAAAGTCATAACTTTGCATGTTAATAAAATGCTTGTTAAACAAAAATAATTTTGAAGCCTATGATATTGTATTCCAACAGTGAGAATTAGGAGGCATCATAGAAACTGTTCACATGGAGCAGCTTTTGAAGCTTAGTCATTATCTTCCCTCACAGGCCTGTTACCAAGCCATCCAGTAGTACTAAAAAGGTTGCCTAATATTGACACTTCTTTAAAGCAATCTGGATATGCTTCCTTAAACTGAGTGTTTGAATGTTGAACCAAGTCCAATACGTCAGATACCATTACTATTGCTGAGATTCTGTTCAGGTACCTCAGGGATATTTGCTGACAAAAAAATGGACTTTTCTGCAAACAGGTTAAGGACTGAAGACAGACATATACTAAGGTTCTTGTGGTGGGAAGATGCGAAACACAACAAGCCTAAGATTTATAGACATTGGTGAGTGGTTTGGAGCATCTCTTCCAGACCTTACACACAGAAAACTTTGAAAATCTAAACGTAAACTGAAAGAAGGAATTCATGTTGACAATCTCGTCGCAAGTATTAATGATATAAAAGAACTCAAACAACTGAAATCTCTAGCTATACAAATAATGAATGATACGTCATTTGAACTGAGATGGGCTCATGCCAAAGTTTTCACCTCCACAACTGCCAACTCTTATATCCCACCATCAGAATTTTTAAAATATACAGCACTTCTTTATGAAAAAGACATTTATAAACAAAAATAAATCAAAAAGCATTGGATTTGCAGTTCATCAAACATTCGACAAAAGCTTTTACTAATGGAATCCAATCTTTGATCACAAATGATGATCAATAATAATTACATTAATAATATAAAATATTAAAATTAATGAAATTTTAAATTTGCTTATATATCACTGGCTTTTTTCCAACCCCTATTATTTTTGCAATTGACTAGCTAGATCATTTATCATCATGATTATTTTCTTTCTATCATGGTAATAATAGAGGTAAAACAACCATCATTTTGCAAAACCAATTAAATTCTCAATTCCATGACAACATCTGAAATGATATTTATAATAAATTAATTATAATAATAATATATTAATAATAGTTATAATAATATTTAAATGCAAACTAATTATCTGATTTTTCCCCACCAATTTTAATGAAACACTGAACCCACTAAATTATACAGAAATTCTAACATATATAAAAATGAAATTAATATTTGTTGAAAATATAAATGAGTTACCTTAATCCTCAAATCCTGAAATAGATTCATGATCTAAAACTTGAATCTTCATGCTATTTTCATCATTCAATTTTTCAATTTTAACCTAAAAACCATTAACCCCTTAACTGCCGCGGAAAACGCACAAGATTCATTTCCCAGTGCCATGGTTTTTCACACAGGCGCGTGTAGTTATGCGATGTATTAGGGGAAAAATAAATGCAAGTTTTACTTTCTAAAAACTGTTTATTTTCACAAAATAAAGTATAAAAGAAAAATTCAATGCAGAAAATTTAATGTTTTGAGTAAAAGTGTAATAAAAAGATGCAAGTATAATAAAAATTATGTTTTTATAAAAAAAAAATATCCCTAAAAATTGAGTTTCGATCAATTCATTTTTAGACTAGAAAGTGTAATATCAGGTTTCTTTGTTATACCTTGTGAAATCAGTATGCCTAAAAAAACATACATTTCTTCTGAACTGGTTGAATGCCACGATTTTGTTCTTGATTTTTCATTTGCAAGGTGTTGGTTCATATACTCATCTACAAAACGGTTAGTTTCAGTAACAATATGAAACCTGAACAGTTCATGAAAAAATAATTTAAAAAAGATAAATGGGTTTGAAACGTCCATTATATCTTTCTTTATTCCTGGAACCTACTACAAAAAGTAAGCGAAAACAGAGGACACAGAATAAAAAAAAAATACGTTTTACTCAAACAACATCAGCCAATACCGGGCAGTCATTACTTTCACGGCTTTAAACACATCCCTCTCTCCAGTTTCTCAACACACTTTTCTGAAATAGTATCCTCCTTCGCATACTTTGTCAAGGTCATAGTGGTGTTGCATTCCAAAGCTTAATGCATTTTTATTAATAAAATAAAAATGCAATTCTAATTTCAGTGGACTTGGATTACCAGTGTTACCTCTTGGTGATCCTAAATGGCCCCATTCAGTTTTGAAAAGTACTTAGCATTCTACATTTATCTGTGTTAACTCTTGAGATAATCCTCACCCATTTGCAATTCTTTGATTTAAATGGATTTGGGATAATTGTTAAAATCTTGAATTAGTAGTATAAAGCAATGAATTGAAATCAAATACTTTCGTCTAATTATACTGAGAAAATAAACCTCAAGATTTACAATATAATAATATATATACAATATAATAATATTTAATAATATACTTCATTTATTGAATTTCATTTGCATCTTTTAAATAAAAACCATACTTTCAACAACTGCATTCTTAAATTTGATTTGCATTAAATACAGATTTTTAATTTTGCTTTACATAAGAATATTTAGATTTTTCTTTGAGTCTTCTTAATATTCTTACATAAAGAATTCGGGAGATTTAAGAACCATTTAAAGAACAGATTCACTGAAAGCCAGGATTCATACAAATAAACTAAAGCTACTAACATACAATAATTTAAACTCGATTACAGTAATTTAAACCTTACTAGCAAACAAAGAAATGACATATTTTACCTAATAATATGAGTATGGAAGGGGATTCTGTGGGCTTATTTAAAAATACTGTGAACCATTGAACAGGATCAATCAGTATCCCATACCTGAAAAAGCACATTAAAAATGAATAATTCAGTAAAAGAAACAAATACTATAAACTAAATTATTTATAAAGTCAAATCTAAGCTTACTTAATAATGTTTTCTAAGGCAACACGGGCATTGGAAAGAACCTATAAAATAAATTAATATTACAAAACAACAAACAATTATAGTGTAATATTATCATGTACAGCAGGAAATTTTTTTCAGGGGGATCAATTCTGTCAAATGTGAAATCAGAATATCAGTAAAACATATTAATTATTACTTTATTAAAATAAATAACTTAAATTTCAAAAAATAACATCATTTATCACAAGAATATATCTTAAGTATATATATATTTAAGATATAAAAAATATGATAGATACTTTAAAAACAATTGGCGACATTAAAATTAACTATTCTAGATTTGGTGCTCGTAGCCTTAATTCATCTGGTCTTCCAAATTCAAGATCCTTCCATGCTACATACTTCGGTATAAATACCGCTCGCAAGAAATTACGTTATTCTTTTCCCTAGTTTTTACCTTACTAACATCTATGTGCTGCTTCGCTTCTCAAATGCTTACGTCTTACTTTTAAAATCAGTGTACATAAAAACTATCTTATTGAAATATAACTGGATAAATCCCTTGTCTACAAAAATGATCAAGTGTGAATTATAATAAAATAAAATTATGTTTTGAATTGACTACATTAGGTCTAAGTACATAGACTTAGGCTGCAGTGCATCAAAATATATATATATATGCGCACATGTGATGATTTAATGCATGGGAAGAATCCAATATTTTAATTTAACAGCTTGCAGTTGTCATGGCCAGGGATGGATATTTACACATATATGTAATGAAACTGTGGTTTGATGACACAACATGAATGATTTGATTGACAATGCAGCACAAACTTTGCAAAGTTATAATTTTGAGTTACATATTTTATATATTACATACCTAGAAATGTTCTGGCTAAGGAAGATTAGAATTCTATTTAAAGACAAGCCTTAAAAAATTAAATCTATTCTTAATGAAATTATGTACAAATCAGTATTAGATTCAGAAGTGTTTCTAAATATTTCCCTATAGTTCTGTTCTGAACATGAGGAAACAATTCCACTCTTATTCTAAATACAGAAACTAGTATCTTGCTAATACATATTTTGGTACTTTCTATAATCCACATTTCTACTGAAATGTCACAAACTTATTGACAACTTCAGAAAGCATTCATGAACTCACTGTCAACTAATTTTTCACCATGCTAATGCATGAAAGGCAACAGCCATTTTCAAAATTACAGCTCACTAAGAATTCCACATAAAAGCAGTCAATCAATAAAATTTTACAATTTAAAAGTAAGAAACATTGGTAATAAAACATTTACCAAGAAATCTCTTTATATACATTGTTACGAAATGCACAGGTGCGGTAAGATTGCTTTCCCGCAAAGTAGTTTTAGGGTTGCCACATTTGGCAACAAAGTTGGTGATATGCCATGGACGGATGAAGAACATTCTGGAACAAATTCTTACCGGTCTAGCACAGAATGTCCTCAGACACAAGCCAAAAGCTATATAAAGCATGCTGGTCAGCAGTCAGTTAGAGAGTGCCTCATCTAACGAGCTGATAGTCAGTCATTGAGCAAGTGCCAAGTGGGTCATCGAGTGCACCAAAGGAGTCTCTTACAGTATTGCGGTTAGTGCATCGTCGAGAGAGCATGTTGGGCTCCGGGAATGACTGAACCGAAGAGTCGGGAGCTGTGCTCTGTGTGTCGAGTGCATCATGAGTTGTAGTGTGGAGAGTCTCGAGAGTATGTGGAGTTCCAAGAAAGATTAAGCAGAGTCGGGAGCTGTACTCCCCGGTGCTTTGCAGTGAAGCTGTCTCCACTGTGATAGCCTGATAAACTGAAACTGATAAACTGTGTCGCTGATTGTTCCAGCAAGTATATAGTAGATCTTCGATGACTGTAAAAAGTGACTTTGGAGCTGTCCTGATTAATATTGGCTAAATAAAGTGTGTTTCAATACTTCAGCAAGTGCCGTCGTTATTCGCTCCAAATCCGCATGAACGCCGCACTTACAAACGTAAAGAAGAAGAACATAAGAACTGGTGTCAGAAGTGGGGTTTGCGAGTGAATGCCAGTGGCCCGCCTGCAGAGGAAGGCCATGGCGGAGAAAATGAAGACTTTGACGGACTTCTTAGCCGGAGTAAAAGCCGGATATGAAGAGATGAAGGCTGAAATGAAAGATGGACTGGCTGAGATAAAAGCCGGATATGATACGCTGAAAGCTGGATAGCAAGTGATAAAAGCTAGATATCAAAAGATGACAGCTGAGATCAAAACCGGACTGGAAGAGAAGAAAGCCCGATGAGAAGAAATAAATGTCGTCCAAGAAAAGGTGCAAGAGCAACTTTAACAGGTGAAAATGGAGCTTACAGAAGAAACTGGAGACATAGATGATATGGAAATGGTATCTGAAGAATCAAAGGATGAAGAAATGATGGAAGTAGCTAATGAACTGTCTGAGGAAGATCAAGAAATGAAAGACAAAACAACTAACGGAATTAAAGAAAAAGAATGAAAACATGAAGAAACAAAAGACGGGAAAGAAGCTTTTGATTCTCAAGTACCTGAAGTGGAAGAAAGTGAAAATGCGACTGTTCAGTTCGTCGAAACTGATAGTGAAATTACAAAGTTGCATGCAGCAGGTGTTGAACCATTTGAAAGTGCATGTGATGCAGAGATGGGAGAAGTTAATGTGCAGCTTAAGCAGTGAGCTCCAGTACTGCAAGAAAATTCACCCACTTCGTAAACTGGGTATGTGCCTCAAATTGCAGGTTTTGCAGACAAGGATTTTATTCTAAACCTGGATACTTCTGCTTGTAAAGGATCGGACTCTATTTGTGAACCTGGTGCAAGCATCGAAATTGACTTTCAGAAAATAGAGGTGAATAAGCATGTACCATCTGCTAAAAATACCGAGGTAAACTGTATGCATGCTACAAATGAACTACAGAGTGGTGAACGAACTGTTTTAGATCTCTTCCTGTGGATGAAAAGTCTGAAAGAACTGAATCTTCAGACTGTGATGTGCAAAAGAGAAATACATCTGAGAACTGCAGTGGGAAAGTATTTGACCCGGGTATAACTTAATGAAAATGCTGAGATTGAAATTCCTTCAGAACTTTAATTTGTATTATTTGAAATTGTGATGTGTTTAATTTGTGTATATAACTTGTACATAGTTTAAATATCTGATTCTTTAGTTATGTTATTTATTTACACCTTATGTTTGTTTCATTACATTTTGTTTGTATCGAATTAGGCTTCTGACCAAGGGTTGTACTGCCCAGGACGTGCAATCCTTGAGAGGGGGCAGCGTTACGAAATGTACAGGCGCGGTACGATGGCTTCCCCGCAAAGCAGTTTTAGAGTTGCCATAAAATGGAAAGGTAAGCAGGGTTGCTACATATGGTGAAAAATTTCCCATTTGGCAAAGTTGGCGATATGCCACGGACGGATGGAGAACCTTCTGGAACGAATCCTTACCAGTTTAGCCCAGAATGTTCTCAAACAAGTGCTTCGTCTAACGAGCTGATAATCAGTCATTGAGCGAGTTCTGAGTGGGTCGTCGAGTGCACCAAAGAAGTCTCTTAGAGTATTGCGGTTAGTGCATCATTGAGAGAGCATGTTGAGCTCCGGGAACGACTGAATCGAAGAGCTGAAAGCTGTGCTCTGTGTGTCATTGAGTGCATCGCGAGTTGTAGCGTGGAGAGCCTCGAGAGTACGTGGAATTCCGAGAAAGACCAAGCAGAGTCGGGAGCTGTACTGTGGTGCTTTGCAATGAAGCTGTCTCCACTGTGATAGCCTGATAACCTGAAGGCTGTGTTGCTGGTTGTTCCAGCGAGTGTATAGTAGATCTTTGATGAATTAAAATAAAGTGAAAATTGTTACATTTTCACTATATAATATATATATCTATATATATTATACTTACTCTCTCCCCATAGGCAAACTGATCTGTTTTTGCTAAAAAAAATCACTGAATTGCACAAATTTGGCATCATGCAACTGTGGAACCTTACACAATAGCCAAATCAGATGTGTTACATACATACTTGGGCTGCCACATAAATACTTTTCAGTGACATCGTGGGTTTCACCATAACTATTTTGGCAACATACTGCTTTGCCTTTTGAATACATTTTCTGAACTTTTTGGTGGGGTCCTATATTTTTGGTGGTATCTAGGAAGTGTCTAAATTTTTTTATTTAATTAATCCTATTTCTGTATCAAATTTTAATTTTATTCATGCGAAGACAAAACTAAAGTTAAAGCAGATACAGTACAAAGTCTTTAATCTGGACTCATTGGGACTTCGGCGATTCCAGATTAAGAGTTTTTCCGGATTATAGATCATCAATTGGAATCTGGTAAGATGGCATGCAGAAATTATAAAATTAAAAATTGAAAGCATATATTATGGGCAAATTAGAATTTTTTTTTTTTTTTTTTTTTTTTTTTTTTTTTTTCTTTTTTTTTTTTTTTTTTTTTTTTTTTTTTTTTTTTTTTTTTTTTTTTTTTTTTTTTTTTTTTTTTTTTTTTTTTTTTTTTTTTTTTTTTTTTTTTTTTTTTTTTTTTTTTTTTTTTTTTTTTTTTTTTTTTTTTTTTTTTTTTTTTTTTTTTTTTTTTTTTTTTTTTTTTTTTTTTTTTTTTTTTTTTTTTTTTTTTTTTCTGAAAGAATCAAAATCTTAATATAAAATTATAAATTAAAATCTGAAGCATTTTCTGAAATAAGTGCAATTATGATCTAAAGAGTTCAAATTTACCAAAAAAAGCTTAATATTTGTTTACTTTATTAAACATTTCTTTCAACGTGCGCATGCATAAAGCATATATTACGCATAGTAGTCGAAATTAGAAAATTGCAACAACTGAAAATTATTCGATGTGTATTTTTGTGATGTTTTATAATGATGAGGAATTTGATTTAAATCATATCAAAGACGGAGTACATCGAGATGAAATACTACATTTATAATTTATAAGGAATATAAGCCGAATAAAAAAAAAAACTCTTCTGCTCTGAAGATGAGGATAGTGCTGAAATTTATAGTGGATCCGCCCCCCCCCCCTGCACCCCCCCACCCAGCAGCGTGAAATTGATAACAGATTTGGAATGGTTCGAGAACAAAGGATAATTTATCCTTTTTTTTTGCAAACATTCACTTTTTTGCAATGAATTCCCCACTTTTGTTTGATGGACATCGAAAAGAAACACATGCTTTCGCTTTGTAGATCCCTTTGGCAGTTCCAGAAATCGGAAACTCTTTTTGTCATAATCGAAAGTTCAAGCTTACTTTTTTATAAAATTGCTCTAAACAGTCTGCAAAAAATAAAAAGCAGATCCAATTAGAAGATTAAGGAACAATGCAATCTGCAACATTAACTGAAATAGATAATTAGATAATTTTAGCCTAGCTTATACCGTCCGCTATACATTAAACGCGCATGCATCAATGTATTATGCACATGCATAAACGCATATGTGCATGCGTAAAGCACATGCATTAACGCATTATGCATTTACACATGCGCAGAATGTTTGTAGCTTTGAGGTTCGGATTATAGATCATTTTGGATTATGGACGTCCGGATTAAAGACTTTATATTGTATATAGTTATAACTATGAACCACATATTTTAACAATGCACATGGAGGAGGAGTGGAAAATTTAATTAAAGTATGTTTAAAACAATTCTTGAAAGGCAAACTAATAAAATAAAAAATAACTTTAGAATACTCTAAGAATTTAGAGAAAATGGAAACTTACCAATAACACGATACATAGATTCAGAACACCTCTGTAATTTGTATATCCACTTGAGGAACTAAGTAAGGAGTCCCTCTGCTTGTGAATACTAAACAAAATAATATGCAGTTATATAAATAAGTATAGAACCAAAACGTAAAAATGCAATAGACTATTATTTTGAAAACAGTAAATTTTTAAATCATAGATGCATTACTTTAACATAAAACATGAGGAACGATTTCAATAAAATTTAAACAAGTTTTTAAAGTAAAAACAAATGGGGTACTTTTCCGCTATGTACATGTCATGCATTTTGGCAGCTGTGAAAGAGAAGCCGAACAGACACTCAGACTCGATGATAGTGCTGTCTGGGGACTAAACCATTTGTGTGTATGTGTGCATTTAATTTAATACATAAAAATTCAGCCCAAATGCATAGGTGCTTAACAGAAAAATACCCAAAACAGATTTACTAGGGCCACACATGCATGTGCATACACACATATACATATATATATGTAGCATTGTACTTTTGGTGGAACATGAAAACAATTCATGTTCTAGCGTTGCGTAGATAACTGGATATTATGGTGTAGTGAATGATCGGATGGAATTTTAGAAGCATGACCAGCTTGATAGTTAAACATCATTTACCCCTGAATGACAAATTTCTTAACACATAACTGTTAAAAGATTAGAAAGGCTAAACGTTCCCCATAATTTTAAATAAGCAATTATATTTTAAATAATGGTGAAGAGCTAGCAGAGGCCGAGCAACATACTGGCTGCAGGCAGGAGAAGAGACAAAAGAGAGAAAAACTGCACAGATAGGTGCAAAAACTATTCTAATCTATGATTGGTTAATTTTAGTTTTAGTTACATTTTTCAAGCAGCATTATGTAACATAGAAAGATCTCGAATTTGGGAGAACAGATGAATTTAGGGGGAGAGCACCAAATCTAGAATAGTTAATTTTGAAGTCGCCAATTATTCTTAAAGCAGCCATCATAGTTTATTAAGCCTTATATATATGAATGTATGTATGTATGTGTAAAATAGATGTGTAATTCAGTAAAATCTTGACTATCCAGAAAGCATTTTTTCAGTTTAAAAAATCCTGCATAGTCAGGAGGAATACCAGTTTCAACAAACATTTCAGCTATGAACACTCTCCAGTGACAGGAGAAAGGGAATATTGTTTCTGGGCAAGTTTCTTTAAGCCTCATGCATTATTACATCTGCTAACCTTACAAGCAGCAATTGAAACAACAGTATGAAAGGATGAGATTCAAATTACCGGGAAGGAGAAATGAAGATACCTTATTACATATAGTAATGTATGTAATATACAATATTACAGAAATTATTCATAAAAAAATCAATATTAAATACAATATTACAGAAATTATTCCCAATGTCATTTCCACACATTTCTGGTATTAGTTCGATACTTTTTTATCTATATATATTGTTGCATTCTACGGGCTCATGGAATTGGAGTAACTGATGATAATACTTAAAGAACAAAAAGACAATTTATTTGACAGTGTTACACAAGGGAGTTCAAAAAACACTTTTACAGACATCGAAAAACTACGATAAACACACTGATGCAATTAGCAACACATCCTTTATGATACAACGGTGAAGAGAGCTTCACAACAAATCACTGAAGTACAGCTCCCAACTCGGTTCGGTCCTGTCAACCTAATTTCTGAACACAACATACCACTACACTACTGAATTCAAGATACTCCTTGCTCCGTGTATAAGCAGAGTATATATAACTTTTAACCTACCATCCAAGAAGAAGGAAAACTGCTAAGAATTTGTTTTAAAATGTTCTTGCTCCATCTATAGCATATCACCAATTTTGCCACCAAATGGGCGATTTCGTGCCAAATCTGGCAACCCTAACATCACTTTGCAAAGGAAACTATTTTAAACATATTTACCATAGCTGGGCTCCCTCTCTGTTCTAAAAAAAAAATCATATAACTTCTCTGGGTTTGCATCATTTTCTCTAGATCATTCCATTTGCATGGCATGACAGTGCTGATGACATAATAATTGGGAACACTTAACCCAAAAACTCCAAACTTTTCTCGTCATGTGCTTCCATATCGGATAACCTCCACACTTCAGCTTTGCTCTTTACCTGCTAAGGTAATTAATTTCCTGTCTTGTTTTGTTTAATACTGCAGTTATATAAAAAATGTAAATGTTTCTGTGAATAGACACAACTAGAGTGCCAAGTGTTTACAGCCACCCAAAAGTTAGTTGCAAATAAAAAATGGAATTAAAAAAACTGCCTTGACTGCCAAGTTTTCTTAGATATATTACCAAGTCAATATATTGTTATGTTTTTTCCTTCTTCTTTTTTACATTTGTATAGGGTTCGTGCAGATTTTGGAGTGAATAATGAGAACAGCACTCGATGAGTATCAAAAACACAATTTATTAGCCATATTACTCAAGACAGCTCCAAAGCACATTTACCAGTCACGAGAACTCCTATAAAAACAGCTGAACAATCAGTGCACATCTTCAGGCAATCAGGCTATAACGGTGAAGACAGCTTCACTGCAAAGCACCAGAGTACAGCTTCCGACTCCGTTCGGACGTTCTCGAACTCCACGTACTCTCGAGACTCTCACACTACAACTCCACGATGCACTTAACGATACACTAGAGTACAGCTCGACTCCTCGGTTCGTCATTTTCCCAGAGCTCGACATGCTCTCTCAACGATGCCGTAACCGCGATACACTAAGAGACTCTTACGGTGCATTCGACAACTAACTCGACAATAGGCACTCACTGACTAACAACTCGATGGACTCCGCAGGGACTAACTCTCCGCATACCAGCAGGGTTTATATAGCTTTTGGCTTGTGTTTGAGAACATTCTGGGCTAAACCGGTAAGAAATCGTTCCAGAAGTTTCTCCATTCATCTATGGCCACCAAATGGGCATTTCTCGCCAAATGTCCCAAACCTGCCTTCCCCTGCCATTTTCTGGCAACCTTAAACCTGCTTTGCAGGGAATCTATCTTAGCACACCTGGACATTTTATAAAAATATTAGCAGCATACTACGCAATCAAAAATCTTTCTCTTTAGTATGGATCTACATTCTATCAATATCTGAGTATTACGCATCAACACTGCTCCGTCGTTTCCTTGCTATTATTTCATATATATATATATATATATTTCGGTTTGAATTAATTAAAAACAGTATCATAGTCAACTTAAAATAGAACTTTGAACACATCATAGTTAACACTCTAACTGGCTCGGCCACGATATACACGGCCTGAAAAATTTTTTTGATATCTATAAGAACATATGTATACATGCATATTAAAATATATCAAAGAAATTAAGCCAATATATTAAAAGTACACAAATCCAGGTATAAAATACCAGGAGAATTTTTACATTAATATTAGGAAAATAATGTTTTCTCCTGGTAGTTTTGGGAAATTTGAGTTTTCATGAAAATCCTGGCCAGTCAGAGGGTTAATTAAATAAGGAAAAGATGTATCAATTTTTTATTCTGCATAGAAGCTGTAATGATGATCTTATTGAATGAATACCATTCTTACTGCTTGATATTACAGGTAGCCAAAAGCAATATGAAAAATACAATAAACTTCCTTTCATTGTTAAATTCTGGTAGATTATGTATCCCTTAGTGACCCCTTACCTTATTTAGTGACTTTAAGATTGCATTAAAATGCATAGCTATGATTTCACAAGGTCATGAAGCACAAACGTAATGTAATTATGCAAATGATAGCAGCATCTAGGACGAAGCCTCAAAAGTAAGTTCATTGTGTAAGCAGCATGCAATTGTGTGTTTACAGTTAATGAACTTGCCAAAATGCACGGCAGATACATAACGGAAAAGTACCTCGAAAATGCTATTACACACATGCTGTTTCTTAAGATTATTTTGGATTTTGCGGAATAATATAATATTTTGGAGCTAAATAACTAGCTACTTTAAGTGAGTGTACAGGATAAAGTCAAGAGTGGTACACACCATGCCATTTTTGCAATTTGAAATTTTTTTTAGTGAAAATAGTTCGACGTGCATATGGATTACGTTTAATGGCAATTCTTAAAACGCGCATTCGAGCACTTTTTCTCCCAATTGCACGCTAACTCTTCGTCATGATTAAGCACTTTTTGTGTTCCATAAAAGTTCTAGCTAAGTAATGTAATTCGGCTAGGAGACTGTTGGAAAAAAAATGTTGAGTAAAAAAAAAAAAAAAATGGCTGATCTTTGGAATATGGTAAAGTAGTTTGGCGACATTTTGGAGGGCGATTTACTACCGGACTTTGGAAATAATGTGAGAAGTAACTCTTGATCGCTATTTTGTGTGAGGGAAATGAGAGATTTTGTTGTGACATTAATATACTAATCACTTTGTTAAAATGAAAAAGGGTATATTTGTAAAAATATCTGCTGTACTTTATAGCAGTAGTTTTTTCATTTTATGTTCTGTGAAACAGTGTTGTTTAATATTGGATTGCATGGCCGTATATAAAGTAAAAATCCGAAATTTTGATTGTGTTTATGTGTATTCAAAAGAATGGCGGTAAAGCGGATAATATGAAATGTCCGATATGTGGGAATGAAATGACATGTGTGAAAAGGATATTTTTGTTTAAATGCAGTGCAGAAACCTGTGAAAATGGATTTTTGATCCGCCAGTCAAGATTTGTAGAAGATTATTGAGGAGGATATTATTTTTAATATGCATTGTCTAAATGTGGCGTAAATAATTAATATGGATTATTGGAAAATTGTTATTAGCATAATTTAGTTTAAAGTAATTTATGATTGTAAGCTAATTTTTATTCATTTAATGTATGGCTTATTTATATTTTAAGTAGTTTTTTTAATTTTTCTCTTTTAATTTATTTATATTTTAATTTAATGATCGTGATTTTTGAGAATTATATGTTGTGTATTTTGGAATACGTTTGAGTAGAAGTAAATGTGCATGGAAAGAAATTTTAAGTTTTACACTAAGTATTTGTAATCTTTTTAATGTTTTGTTTAATTCATGGTGACGTTTTTAATAGATCTTTAA